CAGATTATTAGTTATTGTAATTGTCTCATAATCCAATTAATTTGTAATTAATTGGATAATTAATTAATTTGCTAATTAATAAATTAAATAACATTCGTTTCGGCCCATAGAAGGTCCTGTGAGAGATAAAAAATAATTAAATATACAGAAAAATCGGTATTTTATTACTTCAATGCAGATTATTAGTTATTGTAATTGTCTCATAATCCAATTAATTTGTAATTAATTGGATAATTAATTAATTTGCTAATTAATAAATCAATCAGAAAATTTATTAATAATTACCACAAAACTAATTAGAATTTGAGACAATTACAATAACTAATAGTCTGCATTGAAGTAATAAAATACCGATTTTTCTACATATTTTATTATTTTTTATCTCTCACAGGGCCTTCTATGGGCCGAAACGAATGTTTCGCCCTAAAATTATTCCTCAAAAGGCATACATCCCACTAGTTTATTTCGAAATTGGCGAGTCACACTTCCCTAGTTTCCCTTGTAAGACACAAGCAATTTACAATCAAAATCCATCATCGAGTCCAAAAAATGTAATAAGGGTATAACTGCAAAACTGAAAATAATGTATTATAAAAATAGTAAAAGCATCAAATGTAACCACTATACACTTATTGTATATAAAAAAATATTAAATGAAACAAAAGGAAATTTGTTGATGCAAGTTAAATATCAAATGAAATCCCACAATTCATTTGAGATGAAATAAATTATAAAGTAACTTTGAGATGAAATAAAGGAATGCTGCACAGAATGTTACAATGAGAGAGAAATAATATTAGCTTCCATTCAAATTTGTCACATATAATTGTTCTGGTGAGATTTAGTTCATCAGATATTGTGAGAGTTGACTTGTAATACACAAAATTTTAATTTTGACAGTATATATCTTAATGAACTTCTTGCGATCATTATTAAGGAAATTATAAAATTAAATGATTTTATGTGAAATTTATAGTATAAAGTAATGCTCATAAAAATGAAGAAGAAACCTGTATGCAAATAATTGTTTTCTCTGCATTTAATGAGGTTATTTTTGAAAAACCAATTAGATACTGTTTAAGATATTTTTAATTTCATGATTTCAATTTTGCAAATGGAACTATATTTCACCAAAATAAGTAATTTATGATATCATCTGTAATTTTTTTTCAGTTTGAATTTAAAAAATTTGAAAGTTTAATACATTTTAAGGGCTATATTGTGTACAATATAAAATAAATTAACTTTGTAATGATTATTTCATCCAACACTTAAATTTAAAAGGTTTTTGCTAAATTTCAAATTGTAGTATAAATATTTCTCAAAATTCATGTTAAAAAAAGATGGTACATGGCCAAAATGAATTTTTTTAGTTCTTTAATAGTTTCGTTATAATCAGAAAAACAAAGAATACTCATTAAAAATAAACTACCCAAAATAATTTTTTAACCTAATGCTCAATTTTGAACAGTTCTAAAAATGTGGGAACATAATATTGATTACAATTTCAAGCTCTTACAAAAAGTGAAACTAAATTTATTTCACAGTAAAAGTTTTAGAAAAAATTTATATGAATATAAATTATTGCATAAGTTTTTTTATAAATAAATTAAAAAATTACTTTTTTAACAAGGACAAATTACAGATATCCACACTGTTAACTGAGCAAAAGTAACACCGAAAAAAAAGGAAAGCTTCTAAATGTTTACAAATAAAAATAAGAGATAGAATGGTTACTGAACAATATTCTCGAAATAGCTACACCAGATATTTTACAAGCTGAAAAACTTTTAGAAAAAGTAATCTTGTGTATCGAGGCATGTATAAATATAAAGATCGAAAGAGCCCTTTTATTTTAAAAGAAAATAGATTAAAAAATGTAATTTCATTTATCCATTTTTAAAATTATTTTTTAAATATTTTAAAGCATTTTATAAACTTCATATGGAATATATTGCAACAAAATGCTATTTTCTCATACATGAAGTAGTGAACAGTCTAAAATGCATAATAATTGGAAAGCTGATAATTTTCCCTTTAAGTTTATTGTCTAGATTAATCTAATGTTTTGAAGCTAAATGAAAAAGTTATTGTATTGTTAATTTTTTAGATCAAAATTAGTGAATACTTAGGGCATTAACACAGAATTTTAGAATATTGATAGTTAACGTTATTGCTTCCACCCTTTGAAAAATGCCCATTTACAAATATTAAATTGTAACCTGAATGATTTAAAGGATATGCAATAAATATGCTTTAAATGAAGAGCAATAAAATCAAACAAAAAATGTATTTTCTTTTAATTAACATATCTTTTATGAACCTATTTGGACTCTTGATCCTCAAAATATGAGGTTTACTCGGAAAATGCTCCTCTAATAGTTTAGCCAGGAGAGCAGTTAAAAATTTGAGCCTCATTTTAAGTTATTCTAACATTTTGCATTATCTTGAGACATTTAAGCTAATTGCATTAATTAAAAATTTACTCACACTATTAAACCTTGCTGTCTTACAAATAATGCAAAAAGCATTTTTTTTGCGTGTTTAACTTAATAATTATCTAAACATTATTACAAATGTATAAAAATTTTACACCAAATCAAACTATATAATTTTAAAAGCCAAAATCTAAATTTTAAATTAAGATTTGTTAAATACTTTTTGAGAAATAACATTTCAATCAATTTATTTCACATACAGATATTTTGCATTAAAAACCTTGTAGTTTAATGAGATGTAAATATGCTGATGATACATTATTAAAGACAATAATTTTAAATAAATAACATACATAATCACATAATTATGAATGCATTCATAAATGTAATCCCTTAAAGTAAGAAACAAACACCTATAAGTGCATTTTCGAAATCAAAATTTATTCAAATGCACACTATTTGTTAGTTCAAGAATAAAAATAGACAATTCAGTACTAGTTAGTAGATAGAATGAAAAAAAGGCAGTTAATAGTTTCTATTTGGTAAAAAAAAATTTAAAATATTTTTAAAATTCACCACAATGATTAGTTTTCTATTTTTCAGCTAGAAGAGTCATAATTTGTTCTGCACTTTTACTTAATGACTGCAAAAAGAGTCATCATTTTAATTTGTTCTGCACTTTACTTTAAAACTTGCATTTTAAATTAACCCTTCCCTTAAAATAAATAGCAAATAAAACAAGTTCTGCAAACAGTATGTTTAATATCCTGAAAAAGATGCTTTCATACAAATCATAAGAGCATTAGTGATAAATATGAAAAATTTAAATTAAAACAAGCTATTTTAACTAGAAAAGATTTATTAAATGAACAACACACAAAGCATATATTTTACTTAAAACTTATAATATTATTAGCAAGTATTGAAATACAATTGCACATGCTGATTTAATTCTAAAATAATCTTAAATATTAATCTATGTTTTATTGAGTTGAATGAAAAAATCATTTTTAATAAGCTATATAAAACAATTATAGTTTAAGGAGGATTATATTTACAAAGAATGTATTCCAGTTTATTCCAAATTTATTCTGAACTTTCACTTTTTTGAAAAATATAAAATTACAGTGAGATGGATAGCCAACTCAGTAAGAGCAGTATAACGGTTTTCCGTACGATAAAATATGAGTACTGGTGAAATTTCAAAATAAAGAAAGTTTAGTCAAGAGAAGATATAACAAATATTTTTATTGCTACCAATTTATTTAGTAGATACAAACTGTCATGAAAAGTTTAGTGATACAAACTGTCATGTCTCTACAATTCAGGAAAATGTAATGATAAGATTTAAAAAAATATTTAGCAAAAGAATAATTTTTTAAAACAAAATAAATTTTCTTTCCATATAAATTTAGATAAGGCAACAAAAAAAAAGATACAAAATATGTTAAAATCAAATTATCTCCTAATTAGGAATTTTATTTATTGAATTTTATACTTGCCCCAGTTGTACTTGGGCCTGAAATTTTCTACATTGGTCATTTTTTGTGGAACAGAAAAAAAAGCATAAATATTCAAAAATCTATTTCAAGCATAGAATTCAAAATTTCTAAAATCCACTTTTAATTTTATTTGACATTAGAACCACATAAATGAAACATTTTTATCATATGATATTTTTTAAAAAAGTACAGTGGGCTGAAGAAAAAAATTATATCACCCAGAAAGACTTTTCTTGGGCTGAAGAAAAAAATTATATCACCCAGAAAGACTTTTCTTTCTATGATTGGATTTCAAAGGGTAATCCTTTATCTTTTTAGTGTTAATTGGCAAAAGTCCAAAAAAAAATTTAATTTTAAGAAACAATGTCGTCATTTTGAATGACAATATATGAAATTTGAGTTAAATGGGTCAAATAGTTTCTGAGTGATAAAATTTCAAACAGAAATAAAATTTCAAATTTTCATTTCTCAAGAACTTATCAAAGCATTTTGTTCAAGTTTTGTATTGTGTCATTTAAAATTACTTAGTTTATAATTATACAAAAATTCCTATACATCATAATTTTAAATTATTTTAAAGTACAGTTGATTGAAATTACAAATAAACAATACAAATTATTTTTTACATAAGATTATCTCGGGGGGAAATAAATTTTATAATTGCAAGCAAAATGTTTCAGAATTGATGAAAAAGTTCCAGAGATATAGTGAAATATGCAAAAAAGTGCAACTAACATTAGGGAGCTCTATTTTTTTTTTTTTTTTAATCAGTCTCCTGATAAAACTATCAGGACCACATTTTCCAGATTCAGACTGAATACAATATCTTGACTGTCGAAAATCCAAAGACCCTAAAAAAAGCCATAGGTTTATAAAGAGAAAGGGCATCGTGCCTGATTCTATCAGTTAAATAATAGTTAACACTAACTAATTAGTAAACTTGAGGTCGACCTTTTGAATTATTAGGATTGATATTTAATGCTGAAAATCCAATCATTGAAGCAAAAGTTTGTAAGTACAGTGTCTTTTGGTCTTGATTAACACTGTAACTAATATCCACTTAAAAAATTTAAGAACCAGAACTCATCTTGAAGAATGGAGAAAGTTTGAACTTTTCATTGTCGTGCATGAAAAACATGTGCATGGAAATAAAATCTTGTAATGAAATCTAGAAACACTACAAACAAAAATATAAAATATGTCTTGAAAATCAAATAATCTTTAAAGAAGATCAAAGTAAATTGGCAATTGAAAAATTTAAATGTTTTATGATAATGACTTTAAAGTGTCCTATCATAACTTTGAGAAGAATTCTTTTTAAAATATTTTACAATAGATAACAGCTAAATATAAATTTAGAAAAAAAAACTGAAAAACAAGAACTCACTTTTTTCTTTACTATGTCCTTAAATATAAAATAATGGTGACAAAATTATAATTATGAGGGAAAGAAATTTAGCATCACTTTAAATTTTAAAAAAAAAAATCCCTTCAGAAATTGAATTAAATATATGTAGTGATAGTTATCATTACATCATATTCTTTCCAGAAATAAATGTTAAAGAATTTTACTATGACTTTGAACTTTTTCTCAGTTTCTGAACATTTCTGCACTAGATTTAATAATATTGACCAAAACTTAATTGAATTTTAATGTAAAATAATATATCTGAATTGAACTCACTCAATTAAATCAGACTTTTTTTTATAAAATAATTCAACAAATACATAAGTTGAAATTACTTCATGCCTTACAACAACAAAAAAAAATATACATGATTATTTTTTATAATTCTCACAACCAGACTGATAGTAAATATTGTGTGGAATTTCAACAAGTTATATATATTTATTGCATCAATATAAAAATGTTAAATATCTATTACAAGATACACTCTTGTAGTATGAAACAATGACTTGAGGAAATAAAGTTATTTTTCAATATATAAAGCTCATTTTTCAAACATCTAGTGCATTGTTTTAAAACTTGTGCACAGTTTAAATGAAGTCAGTCTAAGTAAAATATGTTGGCTTATGTACCCAAAATATAATGAATAAATTAAAACTCTGGAATAAGTATAATTTTACTTATAAATTTTGTCACCCTTACCCATATCAGGAAAAGATGTAAACAAAAGAATGTTTACAAAAAATACTTCACAATGGAAAAATACAAATTTAAAGCATCAAGGTAAGATCAATCTGGCACTTGGCTGATGCTTTTAAATCTTGTTCGCTCACTCAATAGTTGCCTACAAATAAGAAAATGAAATGATACAAATTTGGAAAATGAGTTTATTCAATAATTAACATCTCTGTAATATTATGCTACACTGTAATATTATGCGTTTTTTTATGCACAATAAAAAATGATCAATAAAAAATAAATATAAATTATGAATGCATTCTTAAAATCACACACAAAACAAATATAATAAATTATATAGTTTTAAGAAAATTGTTTCATTATTTTTTTCCCATTAAAAGATTTTCAAATAATGGGAAATTTTATGTCATTGGATAAAAAATGTCAATTAAGCAAAGCATAAATGCTTAAACATTTTGATTTTCTTTTTAAGCATTACTCTGTACACTAGTTTAAATATAAAAAGAGTAAAATTTCAATAATAAAAAAATTAAAAGTTGTAAATGTCATAACTAAAGCTCATCTAAAATTCCAAATTTTGTTATTTGAACTTTAATTTTAAAGAATTGGAAAAATTTGAAACAAAGGAAATAATTACCTAAGTATATTTTATTATTATTCTTTTATTACGTTTGAAAATTTAGATAGATTTATTCTTAACTGAACTGATTGATTATTCTAAAATTTGGTATCCAAGGGTTGAAGTCAAAGTATGTATGTTTGTTTTTTTCCCACTATTTCTCAACTAGATTGTACTGTTATACTTATGAAACTGAAAATACAAGACCACATATTCGTAAAAGCAGACTATGCCTTCTTTAAATAAATTAGTCCATTTTACTTTGATATTTTTGTTCCACAGTTATATTCAGTGTATTTATTATGTGTCATTACTAGACAGCGGATAATATGCAATTGCATACGTGCGTATGCAATTCCAGATTTTAGCACTTTTTGCCATTTGTGCATATAAATGCATAAAAAGGTATATTTGCTCTTATAAATCCATATTTTCAGCATTTTATGGCTTTTCCCTCCTAAAACCATATCACTATTCTTTTTATGTTAGCATAAGGAACGCTTTAAATTTTGTTTTGTCGTTCTTTATCACCTGAAAGGGTCAGCTGGATTGATGTTGCTGGGGGTGATTGCAATCACGTGAAAAAGATGTAGAAATGAGGTGTGTGTCGGGAAGGGGGGTACAAAGGGCCCACCCAAACAGACATTCGTCATAGAAACCTCAGAAAGGGATGGTCAGATATTCTATGAAGGGATGTCTTTTCCTGGAATAAATAATTGTCAATCTGTGTGGGAAAAATAAGGCTTCTGTGGTAGGTAGAAAATGACCTCCCTTTCCTGTGATTGATTAGTTAAAAGGTGGAGTGAATACATTTTCGGAGAGAGCTGCTATTCTAACATATTTCGATAGTCCATCCGATAGATAGATAGTTTCGACATCCATCAGTTGAATACGTAGTTAGTGAAGCTTCGAACGTGATTTTTGACTGCTGAATTTTATAATATGCCAAAAATTAAGTCGACTAAATCAAATTTAATGAAGACATGGATTTCGGACTATGGGAAGGACTTTACGACCGATGGGGAAATAGTATTTTGTGTGATTTGTCAAAAACACATTTCCTGTGAAAAAAAGTACCAAATCGATCAACATATAAAGACTAATGCTCACTCCGCGAAGAAAAAGCAGAATACAAAAGGATTTGTTCAAAGTTTATTAACTATTCCTGTTCAAGCAGCTAAAAAGGAAAGTGATTTATGCAAAGCCTTAGTAAGCAGCAATATTCCTTCAAAAAAGTTAAATAATCCAAACTTAAGACAGTTTTTAAAAAAATATTGTACCGATCAGATCATTCCTGATGAATCGACTTTAAGAAAGAACTACCTTCAATCAATATATAACGAAGTACTGGGTGATATTCGACGAGATATTGGAGATGACCCTAAATGGATTGAAGTGGATGAGACGACAGATAAGTGCGGTCGCTATATTGCTCATTTTATTTGCGAAAAAATTTATAATATTCCTACTCGACCCATCTTCTAGCAAGCAAAGCCCTTGAAAAAGTCAATCATTCAACCATAGCAAGGTTTGTCAATGATTCTATCAGATTATTATGGCCTGATAGAGATGGTTCTGAAGATGTTTTGATTTTTGTCAGTGATGCCGCTCCGTATATGGTCAAATCCGCAGCAGCACTGGAAATTTTTCATCCCAGAATGCTTCATATTACTTGTTTGGCTCATGCTGTTCACAGACTGGCTGAGACTGTTCGAGAAGTATTCTCCTCTGTGAATGATTTAATTTCTAGTATCAAGAAAGTTTTCCTCAAGGCACCTGTGCGCATAAAATTGTATAAAGAAATGTATCCTGATTTGTCCTTACCTCCACAGCCTGTGATAACTAGGTGGGGTACATGGATTGAAGCAGCACATTTTTACGCTAATAATTTTGATGCAATAAAGTCAGTTGTAGATGCAATTGACAGCTCCTGTGCTTCTTCAGTTTATGTCACAAAAGAATTACTACAGGATATCTCCTTGCAGAAGGATTTGGCCATAACTGACACTCACTTTTCTTTCTTAAGTGGAGCAATAACAAAGCTCGAAACACGAGGTCTTCCCCTGGCTGAGGCCATATCCAAAATTGAAAAAATTCAACAGTGCATCAATGATCTTCCAGACTCAGTTGGGAAGAAAGTAAAAGAAAAATGGTGGTTCGTTCAAAACAAAAATTCGGGTTTTGCAGCAGTGAAGAAGATAAATGATTTTCTTAATGTAAACGGAACTGAACTTCCAGAGAAAGTAAAACCAATGAGTACGAAATTGTACAAGTTTTGTCCAATAACATCGGTTGACGTGGAGAGGTCATTTTCTGCTTTCAAAATGATCTTTGATGACCGACGACATCAATTCACTCTTGAAAATTTGGAAAAACACTTAGTTGTGTATTGTAACAAAAATGATTCAGTTTAATAAAATCTTTCTGGAAAATGCGATGATTTTTCTTCTCTCATTTATCATACTTCAGTTTTAGGCTTTCTCTTCAGAAATGCGTAGATTTAAGTAAGAAATATTTTGATTTTCTTCCTTTTAACAAAAAAATGCTTTAGCTGTGTTTGTTGGAAAAAGTAAGTAGTAGTATGCAAAAAATTTTCAAAAATTTTTCACGACAAAGGGCTTTCAAATTTTTTTTTTGAAATTATCAAGGGATTTGCTTGAAATTTTCAGGATAAATTTATATTGTTAAAAAAAACTTTTATACAAAATTTCAAAAAAATATTTCAAAATTTAAGAAATTAAAAAATTTAAATTTTTCAATTTTTTATGTTTTTTTATATTACTCCTCGCGTCTGAAATTTTGTCAAAATGACAAAATTCTTTTAAAATATTACATATTAGGTAATATTGAAAAAATTGTTGGGAGTACTTTTTTTATTTTTTATTATAGAAACAAATAACATTAAAAAAACAGTAAAAAACCTACATTTTTAGGAAAAAATCATGATACCTCTATAAAATATCATGTATAAAAAAAATACTATTCACTTAATTCAAAAAACTTTTCCAACAAAATGTTAATAATATTCATAAATATATAGCATTAAATTCTCAGGTCAATAGAATGAAAATTCATTACGCTGGAACAGTTTGAAAATTGTAAATTTCTCAAAAAAGACATTTTGAAAAAAATGACTTTTAGTACTTTTTCATTGCAAATTTTACATCTGAACAAATACTTCTTGTTTTTAATATAAATACCTATAAATATTGTCTAATGAACTAGTTTAATAATTATATACTTTAAATTTTTTTTGAAAAATTAACAAAATATTTAACTAATTTTAAATTAATTTTAAACTAAACTAATTTTAACAGTTACCTGCAGACAAAAAAAGGTAAAAAAAGGGGCGTGGTCAAAACTGAAATGGCCATAACTTCATCAATTTTGCTCTTATTCCAGAAATGTTTTTTCAAAATGTTCAGTTAAATGCCTAAATTTCAAAAATATAAAATGTAAAATATCTATTTTTTGACAAATTTTTGCTACTTTAAAAGTCCCTTGTCACCTTGTTGGACTTTTAATTTCTATTTTAAATGCATATTTCTTGTTTTAAGAGCATATATTCAAGTTTTTAGTGCATATTTGCATGCATATTTTGTCCGTTTTTTAGTGCATATAATCCGCTGTCTAGTCATTACCAAGTTCATTATTACTGAAATATATAATTATTAAAATCATTGCCCATGATGTCACTCTGCATGAAACACTCTACCGGCATCCATTAAATGAGTGGGACAATAGTACCTCCAGGGTTGCTACTCAAATAAAAGAATAAAAGTCCCTGACTTTTCCAGCTTTAATAGATATGTTTTTTAAAACTTTCCAGTCTAATATCACAATATGTACTGACAATGTGTTGGTCAAAATATACAGTGAACCAAAATATTTGATATTTGTATTTTGTACATTATATTGCATATTTAATTTTTAAAAAACTAACACTAGTCCATGTAAAAATTTATTACAGAAAATTTTATTTCCTTGAAATATCTGGAAAAGAAATTAGGTCTTCACAAAACAAAATTTAAGTAATGTATCAATAGATATTAATGTATAAATTTTTGTCTTTACAAAACAAAAGTTAAGTATTCTTAAAATTTGTTATTAAAATATGAAATTAATGTTATAATTAATAGGAATTAAACACAAATCAAAAGTAAAATGATTAATGATACAAAAAGTAAGCTTTATCTTCAAATCTTGCTGACAGGGAATATATTAAAGAGTAAATTAGAAAAAAAAAAGAAAACTAGAACAGAAAAAAAACATGATTTATTTTACTCTCAATTATAAAATAAAAAATAAATTAAAGATATAAACATATGTAGGAGGGAAAACAAGACAATTAAAAATTTAAAGGGGAAAAATACAAATTATGTATATTACCTTCCATTATCTTTAAATGTAATAAAATAATGAGAAATAAAAAACATTAAAAACTCATTATATCTGTCCATTTATTATAAAAAATAAATTTTTGGAAGAGATATCAGAGGTTGAGATGGAAATTGGGGTCATTTTGCAGCCTCTTGACAACACTCAAATTCTAAAAAACGGATTCGTGACATAATTTAAATTTTAAAAAAAATCACAAAATTCTAATTAGTAAAAATGGCTTATTCACATAATTACAATTTGTGAAAAAAGCCTTTTCACGAAATTGTTCCCTGAAGAATTCTCAGAAAAAATTACAAGAAATGACGAGATTCTAAAACAGTATCGCCACAAATCAAACATGTTAAAACTCAAATTCAAAATACATATGTAGTAATATCATGATAGAAATATCGAAATTCCGAAAACCATATACTGTGTACCATATACCAAATTGATTATCACCCGATGACATGAAGCTACAATGGAATTGTCTCGATTCAAATTCATCGAAGATTGTTAACTTTGATTAGAATGTCGTAATCACAACATATTAAAAAAATCACAATTCGAAAAACCATGTGACAAAAAAGTTATAATTACCAAAAAGACTATCCCCTATGATATTAAGATTTAATTATCACGAATCGAACAACTTATGACTCGAAATTGAAATTTGATGTAATAGTATGGTATTTAAAATTTTGGGATTTTAAAAACTAAGTGTAAAGGCCCGAAAAATTATAAGTTAGGAAATCTATCATCAAATGATGTGAAATTATGATGCAATTGTCAGAAATCAAATATATCAGAAAGTGTTAACTAAAATTGAACTTCGTAATAATATTATGATAAAAACATTGGAATTTAAGAAATGAAAAGTTATCTGCCAAAAAATTGATTGGAAATCTAAAGAAATTTACAATGGAATCTTCACGAATCAAGCATGCCAAAAATTGATTTGTCAGATTCATAAATTACACAACATTTTATTAGAATAATAACAGAATTTGGAAAAAAATTTAAAAAAAGAAAAGAAAAACCTAGAAAAGAAAAATATAAATTATTAGAAAATAATATGGATTTAAAAAAAACATGAGAAAGGTGCCAAAGAAACTGGCATCAAACGAATGGAAATTACGATGAAATCATCATGAATTGAATGCATCAAAAAGTCATAACTCTAAATCAAAATTCAAACGTCATAGTAATAGTAATGATATTGGAATCATAAAAACAGTGTTAAAGGAACCAAAAAATTAAAAGTAACTGGGGATAAGCTATCCTCAAACTAGGTAAAATTATGATGAATTGTCAGGAAAAATAATAATATTCAATAAAGAATTCAATATAAGAATTGTCAATAAAAAATAGTGAATGTTAAAACTGAATGTTCTTCCTTAATGAAAAAATTTGCTGAAAACAATTACCATTTTTTACAAAAATGGGACCTAAAAAATAAAACCTGAATCGACCCCAGAATATATTAGTACTGCTTCATAATTTCTATGTGGAACAGCAATCCCAATGCTTCCTACGAATTCTAAACAAGTGACAAGTCTAATTAAACATTAAATTCATGACAAGTTTAATTAAATTTATTTATCAAGCCTAGGTGATAAAGGATTAAGCAAACATACAATAAAAAACATCAATTTATAAAACATTATTTATCCCAATAAATTTCTTAATCAAAAATTAGAATAGATCATCTGAATTACATAGATCCATCTATCTGTTCTGGATTCTAGCAACCAGTAACCCTTTTTCCATCTGAAAGTTTATAAGACGTAATACCATGGCATGGCATGGCATGATACAGCTATGTGAAATTTGGCTGCATGCCAAATGAGTGAAAATGAAGCTCTAACGTTAGAAAAGTGTACCATGGAAAATACTTCTGCAAATATTGCACACTTGGTGATCGCTAAATCAAAACCTCTGGCTTTTCCATATTTTGACTAAAAACTGTTAAATTCCCTAACTTTTCCTTGATATTTAGGACTATTTCCAAAATCCCTGAATTATCCCAGTTTTCCTAATTTTCACTCAATTTATAAAATTATTTTCCATGAATGATATTAAATGATATATTTGAATATAAATGCAACTAATAAAAAATTTAAAATTATGAATGAAAACAATCTTATTTTTATTAAAAAAGTAACAATAGGAAGAAGAGTAAAAAAATTAATATAAAATGTTGATTTCTTTTAAAAATTATACTCTTCTAAGTAAATTATTATCGATAAAACATAAAGAATAAAGAGAAAAAAATTATAAAATGCATATAAATACATCTTTTAAAAAAACACAACTGTCTTTTTATATTATTTCTAAGACAAAATTTAATAACAAATTGTTAAATATATTTATTTACCTTAATACACTTTGGTGGTGTTTACAAGTTGATTTCATAGCAGCAGCTATTAAGAGTATGTTAAACATATCTCTCTGTTAAAAAAGAAAAAAAAACATTTATGGTTTGGATGATAATAATAATAAATTTAGTTGTATTTTAAAAAAAGATTAAAGAATAAAAAAATTTATTACACAGATAAATGAAAAGTAATATAAAATCTTGTTAACCATTTTTTCTCAACATAAAATTACTACAGAAGAACCAAGTTAATCTGATCTTGTACTGGTTTTAGACAGGTTTTAAATAAATAAGTATGTTATATTTATTAACCCCTTAAATACCAAACCATCTACAGTGTAAAGTTGTGTATCCGGAATCGGAGGGACTTCCAGAAGTCCGTATAATAGATTTTTCCATATAATAGACCCCCAAGGTAAACAAAGCTTAAAATGATTTAATAAACGATCTGAATCTAAGAAGCAAAAAACAAATAAACATTATTTTTAAAGGGAATGATGTTTTAGCATTAGAATATATAATCAATCAAATNTGAGAAAGGGTGAGAAATTCTCACCCATTTTTTTTCTATGATGAAAACACTGTTAACCCCTTAAATACCAAACCATCTACAGTGTAAAGTTGTGTATTCGGAATCGGAGGGACTTCCAGAAGTCCGTATAATAGATTTTTCCATATAATAGACCCCCAAGGTAAACAAAGCTTAAAATGATTTAATAAACGATCTGAATCTAAGAAGCAAAAAACAAATAAACATTATTTTTAAAGGGAATGATGTTTTAGCATTAGAATATATAATCAATCAAATATAAAATATTAGAAAAAAAATATTATTGCTGGAAATATGGAAAACGAAAAAAATTTAACAGTTATGAAAATATTAATCCGCCATTTTGAACTAGAACGATTCAAGCACGAAGGGGAAATTCATGTCATTCTGGAACAAAGCTTAAAATGATCTAAATCTAAGAAGCAAAAAATAAATAAACATTATTTTTAAGGGGAATAATGTTTTAGTATTAGAATATCTAATCAATAAAATATGAAATATTAGAAAAAAAATATTGTTGCTTAAAATATAGAAAACGAAAAAAAAAATTAAATATGAAAATAATAATCCATTTTTAACTAGAATGATTCAAGCAAGGGAAATTCCCGTCATTCATTAAGGTGGGTAGGTGGAGGAGAAAAATTCATTTCCTCCTTATTTGTGAAAGAAAATAAGTGTAAAGAGGAGATCATTTAAGTTGAGGGTGGGAAGTAACTAATTATTGTTTTCTCTCCAATCATTGGCTATCAATCAAGCATAAAGGCGGAGCACGCTTGGGTTCCCTTAATTTTTTCTTTTTCCCCCTAAATATTACATGGTATGGGGAAGAATGAATGCTTTGTTTCTTAAGGACGTGTATCCTTTTAGACCAATTCAAATTTTCCATTTTGACTCCCCCTCCACCTTAACGCTTGCCCCGTTTACCCTTTTTAACAGTATTTCTTCTTTCAATAAAAAGTTCCAGGAAATGCCTCTTTTACTAGCCACCTGCATGGGAAAGGAAGGGGGAGGGGACTCAGTTGCGGTCTTTTGAAAACAAATCTCCCTCTTTTTCCTACATTCCAAGGGAGGAACCTCACTAACTGTCACTCAATGGTCTTGATAGATCTTTACTTCCCCTTTCTGGTGATTTATGGGTTCGATGCATAAATCAGAGTCTCATTAATGTCCCAAGTCTCATTAATGTTTGCTTATATTTTAACAGTATATTAAGCTGGGATATAAATACCTAATACTAAAGAGACACCCAGATAAAAAATATATATATACAGAATTGTTTTGTTATTTGTGTAAATTTAGGTTTCTTTGTTAACTTTCTTATAAGATCAGAAAGAAATTGGATCGGGTGAATAATCCTTAAAATATTTATTTCCAATTTTTTACATCATATTTTTGCTTATAGATGTTAACGTCTTGTTATTTCCATCAAAAATATCTCTTGCAGTTCAAGCGGTGAGAGAATCTGAAAAAAAATATTACTCTGGTAAAGTTTCCAGGAGTTTCCTGGTTTAGAGTGGTTCACAATTGCAGTATAAGCTTGAAGTAATTAATACAGCATGTTGCAGGAAGTCCGCAATTATGACACATTTCCAAATCACCATCAAAATGTTAATATTAAAGATGCAAAATTTTTTTAGTTAAAATGAAATGAGATTTGCTAGTCTCCTGCTACTGCCACTATTTATTTTAGGGAAATACACATTTCTACTGCTTAAATAAATATTATTATATGAAAAAGGGCAAAATGAAAACATTTTCATCTATCTCTGGAATCATTTCACTTTTATCATACCTGGCAATATGTTCCAATTTATCAGAATATTTTTGTTTCAATATGTAATAAATTTAATTTATAATGATTTTGTCCACCACTGCATACAAACAACTGAAGCACATATATGAAACCTATTCATTTTGCTGAGAAGTTTTTAAGTTAAGAAGTTTGCAAAAGTGAACAAATTAAGTTAAACTTAAATCGTTATTTGGCCACCACTTTTAACATTCTAGGAATCTAGGACTTTTGTGTTGACAATTTTAAGAGTCCTACCGCACACTTCAAAAAGAATGAGCTTTTTCTTAAGCACATAATTACAAAGCCTCCTTATTTCCCTTCTTAACAGCTTATTATTGAAATCACTATTCATTGCTATGAATGGCCTCCAAAGCTATTGCAATTCACTTCATTTTTTCCTTACATCTTGTAAAAACTTCCAGCCTGGTTTAAAATACGTAGGAAAAAAGTTTCTTTTAGAGTTCTTTTCTCCTTAAAAAAAATCAAAATAGTAACTTAAATATGTTTTAACATTAAATATGTTAATATTACGTTAAATATGTTAACAACAAGCTCACTATAACATCAATTCTGTATGCAATTGTTAATTGTTAGAATGGACATCTACTGAATATGAGTTTAATCTGTTAATTCAGATTAGTCCATTTAAATAAAGGTAAACAAAAAATTTAAGTACAAACTAAATTCCCACTTATTTGACTAAAGTACGATGAACACCTAAAGTTTGGTCCAAGATACATTGTTATCGGCACCTTGCCAAATGCACTCTTTCATGCGCTATAGTAAACAGGGCAAAATCAACATGTCTTCTGGCATACCTTTTACCTGAAAGCTGAAGCATTCTTATATTAATACATTGATCTAAAGTTCCAGATACACAATCCTTATCTGGCAATGTGGATATTGGCAAACTTTAGCCAGGTTTTCTTGATATAGAACTAGTGTCCTGAAATATTTTCACCTAGTGATTAGCCTGTCTCTAATTTAATTTCCATTTGATTTCATCAACCACATATTTGTGGCTACTCATTGAATTGATACATTATGGAATTTACTCAACTTCAATAAGAAACGTGGCTTATTTTGTGGAAAAGCACCAGATAAATTGCCAACAATCCTCTGTATGCAAGTTTCTTTGACAGAATCACACCCTTGCAAACGAAAACAGGTATACTTCATGTTGAATTTAGAATAGTTGTACAGTGCTTTGTTGACAATTAATAACTTTGACTTTATACTTTTTGTAAAATCAATCATAAATTACTAATTCTATTAATTTTACACATGAATATGCATTAAATTTTGTTTTAATTTGTAAATTATTTAACTGTTAAAATTACCTGAGCATTACTGCCTCCTATTTGAACAATGCTATAGCGTAACGGATACAAAATGTCACAACAATCTTCCACTCTCCCTTCGTCAAATGCAACAATTGCTTCGCATAATGAATAGCCAATATCTCGAGTGATTGTATGATTTACACCAGTTCCATTTCTAGAAAAAATTTGAATTAATAAAACATTACAAAGTAATAATTAAAACAAAGCAGAGAATGAGTAAAGAATGATAGTTGATTTCTATGTAAAATTACTAAAATTAAGGCACTCTTGCAACAGCCAGTTGTTAACCAGAGGTAATATGTGGTCAGCAATAAGCACCAGCCACTTTTACTTTTCAGACAGACTGGTACTCATTGATTCCCAAAGATTCTGAAGATATTATTTTTAAAAAAATACTACAAGTGCTTTTGAAAATACAAGAAAAGTTGGAATTTAAAATCTTTTTTATAAAGAATACAACACATTTTCATAAATATCTTTCAATGTATTTGTAATTGTCAAATGTTATGCATGTTTGTGGAGGTCTGCAGTATTTAATTGTTTTAACTTATAATGTCTTTATCTTTAATATATCGTTGAAATGCCTTTATCTTTTATATATTTGAGATTGAAAATTTCTATATTTTTTGGTACTTTTGACAATGCACTGAAACTTAGAGGGTAAGCTTATGCACCAAATTTTATAGAACTTGCATATCATGTGTCATGTTTGATTCTTATGTTTTTTCTCATACAAAATTGCCTTCATTATCATTTTTTGTAATGAAAAAATAAATATTACTGTCAGGCAATGAAAACTAAATAATACTACCTTCATTGATATTTCTGCAATAAAAATTATTATGTTTGATATATATTATTCACCCTCATTTGTATAGCTGATTTCTTAGGTACAGTAGAGCGTTGATTGTGCATGCCATTTGTAATGTGCTACAATAGGCATTACTACAATTGCCAATCCTAAGCCTGGAAAAATTGTAAAGGGAAGTTATTTAAAAACATACTCATAGCCATTTCTTTCAAAGACGCCCAATTATCTAGATTTTTTACAATTCAGATTGACTTTGGTCCCAATTGATCCAGATAATCAGTGATCTACTGTATTTGGTGAAAAGATATCTAAGATTTCTGTATTTTCTGATATGTATAAAAACTTTTAAAATTATCAAAGTACATTAAAACTTAAAGGGACAGACAAAATAAAAAAAAATATAAAATAGGACATGCAGTCACCATGGTAACTGCATTAAGTTCATCTCCATATTTTTTTATGAGGTAAATTGTTGCTTCCTTTATTTAAGGTAATTTAGTTTAAAACAGTACAACTTTGATATCTCTAATATCTAGGGTTAAGAAAGAATTTGAAATAAAAGAGTATTTGTTTAATTAAGAAGATGGTAAAATAAAATTAATGGTAGAGTAAAACTACTTTTATAATAAAAAGTAGGAAATTAAAATTAAAAAATAAATTTTATAAATACAAAGTTTTAATTTCCATGTGTTTTGACTTTTGTTAGTTTAATGTTCATTTTAAGCAAATGATGCTATGCCAATCATAACTTTCAACTAAAAAAGTGAATCTCTGATAATATCACGTATGGGCTAGCTACAATAAAAATAAATCAACTCTTTAATAAAAACACCTAAAATCCTTAAAAATGTTACACTCAGGAAATTAATAGGAACTTTAGCAGTAGCAAACAGAGAATATTTTCTTTGAGAACAAAATGATATATATCAAAAAGATTTTTCTTTGAACTTTAATGAATAACTCCTGAAGTCAGTCTTGGAATTTTTAATTTAACTTTACACTTTTTATTTCAGTTTCAATTGCACTTCACAACTCTATTTTAAAAAAGACACTCAATATTTAATTCAATCTCAATAGACACTTTATGCAGCTTTTCAAAAGAGATGAATCTATTTTTAAATTAAAAACGCATCACTAACAAAATAAAATGTTAAGATATTTAAAAAAAGGTTTTATGTTTTTTATTAGTTTTGACCAACTGAGATTCAATTTACACTCTTTAATGAGCAAATTGTAGAGAGTTCATTCATTAACATTACTGTATTTGTATTTCTTTGCTTGGACATAACTATTAGTTTGAAAACAAAATTTCATGTTTTGGTATTCTTATTGAAATAAGTTTGCCATCAAAACAAAGTATGGACATTTCACTTCCAATAAGTTATTGATTATAAAAGCTCCATGGCAAAAAAGAACAAACCTTATGAGTAATTCTAAAATGAAAATGAAACTGGCTCAGTCAATTTTTAACTGCACAATGTGTTTTAAAAATAAACAGGTTTGTCAAAAGAGTGAGAGTTGCTTGAACCCCATGGTTATTTGCTATTGAGAAAATTTTTTATTGAGGGAAGCATTGTTTTGCTCTTTTTATCTAAAAACTTTTTATTTTAATAGCTCTTTAAAATAAGATTAAAATCAGTATAAAGAAACTTATTCTAAGTTACAGCATGCCACTAATATACAACAAAATAACTAGAAAACAAAATAAAATAAAAAACCTTTTAAAATTTAAAATATGAATAAGTTGTAAAAGAAAATTATGGCATAAAAAATTAGATTCCTTTAAGAGAAAACTATTTCGTACGTAATGTCATTCAATTTTCCAAATTTGTTTTCACTTTAAATATTCATATTTTCCCCAGAAGTTCCAGTATTTCAATGGATTAATACTAACAAAACAAATCAAAGCTTCAGCAATAGGTACATATGCAAGACAGGTAAATCACTTGTTCCTCACTGTCATAGTTAGAAACTCTAAATTAAAAAATCTTTTATTGGCTAACATAATGCAGGAAAATAATGATTCTATTCATAACACAGAATCAACAATAACATATTTAAGTACATGGCCTAATACAAAAGGGACAATTGCAAAGGGGACACATGAATCCAGAGAAATTGAGTATGGTGAACCCTTATGAAATGGAAAATGCAAACTCACACTTATTACTGAGGCCTGGAGTCTCTTTTGAAAGCACCTGTGCAGGACCAGAGTTTTTATTTTTATTATTATTTATTAAACCTAAATTTATGAAATTACTGAAATATGATCTTCAATAATGTCCTGTAAAATGGATAAATGACATGCACATATATTTTTCATTCACATACTTTTTTTTGTTTTAGTAAATTTTTAAACAATTTTTATAATAATGCCCTTTGACTTAATGACTTAAGCTTTAAAGACTTTTGACATTATCTTTTTAATTTTTTTATCATTTTGATTTGTTTAAAAAAATTTTTGAAATATACAGATTTCGCTTGTTAAATTTGTAATTTAATAAAAGAAAGTAAAACAAAAAAAGCAAGAAACTTTTTAATGTCAGATATTTTGATTATTCTAACAATTTGAAGAGTTGTATCGTGTGCCCATTTCAAAGAGAGAGAAAAAAAGAGTTAAAACTAAGCACAACTTCGTTTCTTATTAGGGATTTCAAAAATATAATTTTTTTTTAATTTAATGAAAATGCTAATCTTCCATTTTTTTTAAAAAATTTCCTCCTTAGAAAAAAAGATCAATTTTTAATACAAATTATAAGAATCTTATCGAACTTTCCATTATGCAAAATGTGAACCTCTAATTTGAACATCTTATTTTTTCGCAACTAGCTAACTTTCCCTTAACTTTAATCAATGATTTTTGCAACTGAAACATTTCTGCACAACTTCCTGTCATTAAAAAGTAGGTTTTAAAAGTATGTTTGTAGCTATTGTTTCAGTACAAGTGACATAAAAATAAATGATTAACTATCATAGTAAAAACTTAGCTAAACATGTTTTTCTTTCAAACATATTTGGCATAAAAAATGTTTCTCATTTAATGGCAATTATACAATTTTTTTAGAGTAAGGAGAAGCTTCATTATGAAGGTATATAGAGCCCCACCAATCCTATCCTGTCTCTGGTCCTGTTCAGATATACCACAGTACATTAAGAATTTAAAATATAGGTACTAACAAGTAAAGCAACTTGATCATGTATTTTTAAAAAATAAAGCTAACCTAAGGAAAATTTCACAAGTAAATCATAAATAATCATAAATTTACCACCACTTTTTACAATTATAGATACAACTTTCATACCTGGAAAAAAAATCATCTAAGATCCTCTAATCCCTCTTAAGATTTTTACAGGGTTCCCACTCTTTTATCAAAGCAAAAATTAAGCACTTTTAAGGACTTGTACAAAAAAAATTAAGGACTTTTTTTCTAGAAATTAAGGACCTTAAAAATGGCATAATGATCAATAATTTATCATCAAATAAAACATTATAGATTAATAATAATAGATTAAAAAATGGAATAGCTTTTCTTCAACTCAGTCATCCATAATAAAAAACTAAATAAAGAAATGTTTAATACAAACAATTTAAATTTAATTAAAATTAAATTGCATTTAATCACCTCACGCAAGCTTTTAAGAATATAAAGAAAAACTCAAAGCATTAAGATTTTTTATTTTAAAATGGAAAAAAACTGGGTAAACAGATAGAAATATATAAATTAAGATGGTAAATTCATTAAATTAATAAAAATATTATTTTCAGTGACTAATACTAAACCAAGGCAAAAAGAAACTAACAAATATAACTTTATTGAGGTTAAGACAATTATTTTCAACTAAGTAAAACCTAATTATAATAAGCTAAAGATTTATTAAAATCACAAAATATAAAAAATTTAATGATTAAAATCAGAATATATTTAGTACCTAACAATCAGGAAAAAAGAAATACATAAAGTAAAAGGAAAACTTAAAAATTAAGAACTGAGAAACAGAAATGATTGTTAAAATAAGAGCTAACATAAATATTAAAACACAGGACAAGGCAGGATGTAATGATCAATTGAAATAAAAATGAAAAAATTCCATATCTAAAAATTGAAAATATAATGAAATAATTCAGTACAAAATTTATTGTGAATGAAGGGGAAAAAAACAACAAAACGTAGTGGAATCAGAAACATCATTTATAAAAGGAGATAAAAATCTTTATAAAATAGTCTGCTTTTAGTTATAAAAAATTGTATGCTTACACTGATAAGCAATACTGCACCTTTGAGGAATTAGAATTTATTCAATTAAAAAGTATTGTGTCTTGTATAGATATTGAAGGAACTAAAATAATCAACGATAAAAAAAAAATTTGTTTGTAATAATTAAAGTATTGTCTGAAATTATAAAACAATAATTTGTCAAAAAAATCAAAAGGTAATGAAAATTGGATGCAAATATGGATTATATATATATATTACTATTATTACAAAATAGGGAATAATGAATAGTGATCTAGTGGTCGAATAGTGACCGCCTACCCAGTGATCAAATAAAAATTTTTTCAAAAAATCCTCAAGAATCATTATTGTTTATATAAAAATAGGCCAGGGCGTTATAAAAATTTTTATAGCGTGATAGATCGTCAGTCAGACTTTGCGATGTATCGCAATTTAACATACATTTGAAATTTATCAATCAGAAATCTTTAAATCAATCAAAAATAAATATAAGAAATAAATCTATAACAAAAGAAAATGTTAATTCTAAAAAAAATTGCTTCTATATCATCAATAGCATTGCTTAATTTTTTCAATTAAAATAAAGATGAATTGACTTAAGACTGTCTTAAAGATTGACTAGTCTTAAGTAAAAACAAACACAAGCTTATTTTAAATTTTTTTAAAATTACTTAGATTTTTTAAAAATAGTAATAAAACTGTTACAAAATATTTTACATACATTACAAATTAAAAAAAAAAAAAAGAAATGTTCACTTAAAAAAATTTGTTTTAAATTATTTGTTGAAAAAAAATATGCGTTTTAAACATCGTTAGGCTTTTGTTAATTACTTATTTAAAATAATAAAGTTGTATTGACTAATGGTCAAACGGTTTTAATGTAAAAATACATGTAAGTTTCTTTATTTATTTAATATTACTTTCCTATTTGAAAATGAAATAGACTAATTTAAATGTTTAAAAATAATACTGACTATCTAACAAATTATTAAACGAACAAGTATTGAAGGAATTTTTAAAAAAATAAAAATAATATTCTATACTTAAGAGCACTATTGTCAAATTATTGAAAAGCGTTAAAACATTGCTTAACTTTTTATTTAATTTTTAAAAAATTAGTAATTTTAACTAACAGCCAAATTAAGAAAAAAGAAAAGAAAGGACGCAAACTCTGTTTTAATTTCCTCAAAAATAAAAGTAAATTAATTAAATGTAGCCTTGTTTTAAATTTTTTTAAACTAAAAGCGACTGAAGATTTATTGGTTTAAAAACTAATCGAATTCTATCACATTATTATATTTACGTGAATTAAATAAATTTAAAAAAAACTTTTTATCACGAAGTATAAATTATTTAAATGCAAAATATATAAAATATTAAATTGAATCACTTTTAAAAAGATCAATAAAGAATCTTTTTTTTTAATTCCTGATTTCTTTTCTTTAATATATTAAGTTCAGAACGAAAAATTAAGATAACAGCAATTGCGCAACGATCGCCAAGTAACAGTAGGTCTGCTGAAAATAACTGACAATGTTAAATCCAGACAGAAAAAAAGTGACGAAATAATGCACAACGATCGCTAAGTAGCAAAAGTCTCACTGAAAATAATTTACTTGAAATGCTACATCCCGTCGAAATAAAACGCACAGCAATAGCAAAATAACTTTCCGCTGAAAATAATCTTCAAGAAACGTAAAATCCAAAGGTCAAAAATGGTGGAGAAAGTAACTATGCATCACATTCTATATTTCAACTCTGATCCTCACTCTTGGTTATTCAATATCACAAAAAGAAAATCTTCTTTGTAGCCAAAAATTTAATGANGACGAAATCAAACTAGTCTTCGTCAGTGCGGTGATAGCTTTAGCATAGGCAAGAATCCTCGCACGTTAAACCACGAGCATTGTCTTAAATCAGATTCCTGATGCTTCGCCTAGAATAAAAGTTATCTTATTGCCCTGCCGATATGTGTGTTAAGTCAATAATTCGCGATACATCGATTTAAAAATGTCTAAGAGTAGTGATCGTTAAAATTGCTGCATCATAACAAAAACAAGTGTTTTTGTTGGGGTTTTTTTTTAAAAAAATGGGGAAGCCAAACAGAAATAAAAGCAAAAAATCGTTCTCATTTTTTATAAGAAAAATTTAACGTTGCAGATTACGCTTTGAGTGTTTCTCACAACCAGATCTTTAGAAAAAATTAAGAAAAATAAGGGTCTTTAAAATATGCTATCAAAATAAAAAAAAACACAATTAATCAAAAAAGCAAAAGAGAAACAGAAAATTTTCCTAAATTCTTAAAACAAAACTTGCAACGTAGAAGATCAATTTTCTATTTTACTGGTTATCCAATTATCTGTACAACTTTAAAAGAAAAAGTGGTGATAAAATATATCACAAACGCTGTTAAAATGCCATGCTTTAAAAAAAAACCAGCAAAAGTGAAAAAAGAAAACAAACATTTCACTCTTTTCAAAACAAAAAGTGTCAATGATAAAATGACAAAAATGACTTTCCTGATTAAAATTATACTTCGCCGAATATTCGTAATATCCTTAATATTAAAAAATGGAGTCATTTATAAAATTGAACTTCAGAAGAAAATATGACACAATGAAAAAATACACTTTGCCTTGCGACGATCACTAGATGCTGTTAGCCATTCCTTATATTTTTCATCAAGTGCCCATAAATTATTAAAAACACACTTTCCTGGCATTTCTAACAATTTCACATTTGAATGAAGTATCAAAGCTACCACGTGTGCTATCAGAAGAATTGAATTTCTCGAATCCTATGGATGAAGAAGGTCAATGCAGGTCTTCAGCTGATAAAGTATCTAAGTACTGTCTAAAAATAAGTCAAGACCTCTACCCACCTGCAGTATCACGCTCCCCTCTCCCCACACTAAATTTTTTTCTTTCAGAATGATCCAGAAAGAAAAAATATTTTAATGAAAAAAATTGATAATAAAATAAAAACAATAAGAGCGTGTTTTCTTCTACTTGCTTGTAACCCCTACCCTCACATGCATTCAAATGTTCTACCCTCGATGCAGGATCTCATTCTAGGCGAAAGTCGTACTTTTTAACTGTGGATATTTTCCTAAGATAAAAAAATTGTTCCAACCAACTAGTGATACTAGAAATTAAGGACTTTTAAGAACCTTGAATTAAAATTAAGTACTTTTAAGGGCCCTTAATTTTCAAAATAAAAACTAAGCAATTTTTAAGGACTTTTAAGGAGCGTGGGAACCCTGTTTTAAGATATAGGAGATTCATCTTTCTGTAAATTTAAATGTTGACTCATAGAAAAAATATTATTTGAAAACGATAGTGACTCTATATACAGAGAAACTTGTGTAAGTTGGCCACATAAGAGGTGCAATAACTTAGTGGATTACTATGGTAATGCAATCATTACAAAAATTTATAAAGGTTGATTTGATGTTCATCTATAGAAGTAAAAGAAGAAAAGGTATGAACTTAGAACAATTGTCAACAGGTTAGATTTAGATAATAAAAAATTAACAGTATACATAATATATGTATACTTACTTGATAAATTCTTGTAGTGATGTCAATAAATAATTGGTGGCATCTTTGTTTTTAGTTCCAATACTGGATAATAATAAATGGATATCATTAAAAGCCAAAATATGATCATCAAAATGTGGACGACAAATATCAAAAACTTCCTTCCACCGTTCTCCAACATTCACACCTAAATAAAATTAACATTTTTCACTTTAAAATTAATATTTTTACTTAAAAGTGTGTTTTCTTTACGATGACAAATCATAACCCTAATAGCATTCCTTTTCCACAGATTTTTATTTTTAATCACTACCACTGTTTTTAAAACATCTGTAAACACAAAGCAAAAGAAAATTGGATAAAGCACAAATGACATACCCCCCATAGTTTAGCTTCTATAAACACGAATCTTCTACAGAGTCTAAACATTAAACAGAAAGAAACAAACAAACATGAGCAAAGTGATTTAACCAATAGGAACAGAGGAACAAGTTTGAACAGGTAACAAAAGAAGAGAAATAAGAAACAGGTAAGAGGAGGTTTGATGGGAATCCCATTATGAAAAAGATTAAATTAGAATAGATTTTCAAATACTGAGAAATTGTGGGATACTAAAAAGACCAGTAACTAAATTATTATAATTTTTCAAAACACGGAACGAATCCCAGAAATCAAGTTTGGTATATGAAGAACAGAGTTTAATGATTATGGCAGAAGAAAACTCATACTTATGATTAAATTTCAAGCTTTGCATATTATTGGAATTCTAATCAATAATAATTCATATATGGGTGATTCTCACAAAACATGACAATTCGGACCAAAAATTTTTTTCAAATTTAAAGTCTTCAAAATAATCTAAATTTTTTTTTGTATACTTTTTTAGCTACACTTATTAATATCTTATAGACAGCCGTGTAGTTTATTGACATTTGCTCGAGAAAAAAAATATATAAATTCACCAAATCTTGAATGCCAGGAAAATGACATATTACCTTAGAAATTTAAAAAACAGTCATTTTAAGTTAATAGTAAGTAACTCAACTTAAGCCTTTATGTTAGATGGACCATAAATTGCTTAAATTAATTCTTTTGATCCACTGAAGAAAGAAACAAAAAAAAATTTTGTTGCTGATATGTACAGAATAAAATTGTGTATAATAATCAATCATTAAATAAATAAATAACTTTGTTTACATCCAAGCATATTACAATCATGCATAAACTTGGTATCAGGTTAATATTTGCTTTCCCTCTTTACTGTATTAACCATTAAAAAAGAATTTCTGGTAACACTTCAATGTAGTGGCATTCATAAGCCAGGAAAATGACAGCCAGGATAATGACAAATTCGCCATTTTATAGCATATAACTTTACTTTAATTTAGTATTTTGGCCGAAGACGTTTATATTCTGCAGAAAACAACAGTATTTCTTAAAATAATTCAGATAAATCTATGTAGTTTTTGTTATTAATGATTTCAAGAAGCCAGGAAAATGACAGCATAAAAACCTACTCACCTTGAAAAAATTTTTGAAATAGATTTTGAGCCAGAAAATTGGTTCTTTATTCATGCAACAAGACATGTTCAGATAGGAGGGTACCTAATCAATTTATTAACATAACATATTGATTCCTGGCGCTATCTATTTTGGTTATAAATCACTAAATAAAAGTAGCCAGGAAAATGACAGATTTTCATGGGACAAACAAATTATTGACAGAAAAAAAAAATTTAAACAAAGTTTTAGTAAACAATACCCTCTGCATATATTCTAGAAATGCTTACATAGGATAAGATAAAAAATAATTAGATTTTGAAAAATGCATGGGAAGTTTTGAAGCCAGTTATTATTGGAAATATTGTTTGGGACATGCCAGGAAAATGACATTTTGATATTCAATTAAATTTTTTCAGTATACAAAACAGTCAATGCTAGTGCAAAATCATTTTAAAATGCTAACAGCAATGCTATTTATTAATTTTTTTTTAAAAAAAGTTCTTTTAGTAATACAGTATTAGATCTTGGAGCAAGGGACAGTAAATTTCATGTTTCATGAGAATCACCCATATATATATATATACATATACAGTACAGAACCCGTTATCCGGAAATCAGAAAACCGGAAAACCAAAAAACCGGAACGAAATTCGACACATTTTGCCATTTTTTTTTAAAAATGTTTTTTTCCTCATAAGATTTTAGGATTTTTCTTTTTTTTTTGAAAGATGTTTACCTTACCATCATTTTGGAAATAATCATTAGTGTATTCCTTCATCTTTTTTTCTTCCTTTTAAGATTATTTCCACAAAAAAAATGTTTTTTTTTGGGGCTTAACAATAAAAAAACTGCTTTTTGTAGCGATTCAGAAAACCGGAAAAATCAGTTATCCGAAATAGCAATGTTCCCGATCGTTCCGGATAATCGGTTCCCTACTGTGTGTGTATATATATATATATTAATACCTATATATACTGAGGCAATATGCAAATATACAGATGGCAGTAGTATCGCATACAAAATGTATATATGGGTAGTGCAGTTACAGGACTTCTGTCCGAGTTATTTATCTGAGAATGTTTCTGATGTAATTATGACCACAAGACGACAATTAATAGATTTTGAACATGGAATCGTAGTTGGAGCTAAATGCGTGTGACATTTAATTTCGGAAATATTGAGGAAATTTGACATTCCTGGATCTATTGTGTAAAGAGTGTGCCGAGTATACCAAATTTCTGGTGTTACCTTCTACCATGGAAAATGTGGTGGCCGATCGCCTGCACTTAATGACCGAAACCATTGATTTGTGCGTAGAATTGACAGTATTAACAGGCAAGTAACAAATAACTGCAAGCAAAAATGGGTGGTGGGACAGGGACGTGTCCAATAGAACAGTGCAGCGCTTTACTAACACCATGACATCACGTCCCCTATCCTTCCTAGGCTCACAACCATATTGATTGGACCCTAGAAAACTGGAATTTCTCTAACATAAAATGCAGATATCTTCCACACAGTGCTGTCTTTAAGGAATCTGGTTTAACAACTAAAATACGTCGGGTGTTTTAGGCCTTCTTAAAAGTTGACAGAACAATAACTAATAACAACAATAGCTGTACAAACAGTAACTTTCGCAACTCTTGCCAAAAATATTATACAATTGGCTTCACTACATTGGTGACGATCATTACAAAACTACTAATGCTTAGAGCATGGGAAAATTATAGACTAGGATGGGATCATAAACTGACATCTGAAATAGTGGATAAATTAAAAATTGGCTATCTAGCTTAGGATTTTTGAAATTAATTCAAATTCAGCATTATTTTCGGGGATCAATTACTAAATCAACTACAACTACTCATATGTTTAGAGATGTTAGTAGAAAAGCCTTTAGTTTTTGTGAATTTGTGTGGTTTGTTTTTGTGAATTGAATGCGAAAATGAACTTCAAATTAAATTAGTACAGGCAAAATCCTGTGTCGTTCCTCTAAAGAAGGATCTCATCACTAAAATCAAAACTGAAATGACTATTTTTTTACAATATATTTTTTAAATGTTTAAGTCATTCTAATATATAACCACTGTAACAAAAAGTAAGAAATGATATGGAATGTCTATACCTAATGAAGATTATTTGAATTAGTAATGTGGCAGAAATGGGAAAGGACTAAAATGCAAGGGACAAAATATGAATACATAAACTAGTAGATTTTTCGTATTTATCATAAAAAATAATGTAAGTGCAACAACAAGACACAAATAATGTTGTAGCCATACATAGTAGCTTACATGATTTCATATTTTGTTCTGCTTGACAAACAAAATTGCAATTATTCAACAGTTCATTACACATACAAAATCATACTGAAAATTCAGAGCATAACACATCATGCAATTTGCAATTACTGTTAAATGTTTATGTAATCTCTATCTACCCAATATTCAAAACACAAAAGATAATGAGTCTCTAAAAATGCAAAACGAATTTAAAAAATACAAAAGATGCAACAACCTGCTAATTCAAGACGATAAAGCAATGAAGTGGAATCTACTATGTCTAACATGGCACCAGATTTCATTCTATCACTAACTTCTGAATCAAATATATCTAAAGCAGCTTCACTTTCCCCCTACAAGTATAAATACCATTTTTTTTACCAAAATATTATACAGAAAAATAAAACTCTTTAAATAAGTGCTATTTAACAATAAAAAATAATAACCAAAAAGAGAGAAAAGGGAAACAAAATTTTAAAAAATGTAGATACATACATAATTTAAGCTTTAACAAAAATTGTAACTTTGAGGGTAAAGGCCACACAAAATTCATCATAAACATTGCATCTGGCTCGAGCATCACACTCTGAGTAAATGAATTGATTTTACCCAATTTAAATATACAACTGTTAGGTAAATGTTTTTATGACACAGTCAAACCTCAATGACTAAAACTTCAGTTTCAAAAAATTTTTTAATATAAAATTTTCAATTTAATGCAAAAAAAACTAGTTTTGACAAATTGTTTTTGTTCTTCCCCTAATAATTTAGGTTTTTTTCAACAAATTCAATAATAAAAGTTAAGTATTAAAAATAAAAAAACATCAAAGATGTTATTTAGAATAATGAATAAAGACTAATGAATAATCATTCAAAATCGTCCTGAATAATGAATAAATATTTATTCATTAGTCAAAAAAATTTTCAATAAAGAATAAATTATTTATTATTTTTAATCATTATTCTTTATTCATTAGTCAAGAGCAAATGAATAACTCCACTGCTACACAAAATTCAGCACTGAATACTATGACTGACTACAATTATGATTAACTACACAAAAAAGGACATATTAATAAGCTACTTGTAATCATGATTATAAGTAGTCACAGTTACAAGTAATAACAATTTTTGATAAAAAAAAAAACTATTTTGATTATTAGTAGTCACAACAGGTGATAAAAGGGAATTATAATATAACAAATAACAGTAATAACACGTTTAGCAGTAATCATAATCCAGCGATTACAAGTAATCTTAAATACAAATAATTGTAATAATTACAACACTCATAAATATAATCATAATTTCATGAGGGCTTGTTGGCATTGTTATCGGAAATGTTGAAAATTGAAAACTTTTTATCAAAATTTGTAAAAATCAGTTTTATTGTTTGAAAGGAAAACAAAATGTTTAATCATTGTATGAAAGTGCAAGCACATAAATGTATTATACGCAGACAAATACATTTGTATATTGTATGTACGAACCTACATTGTACGTAGGCAGATACATACACTCCTATGAATTTTTGTACATACACAAGTAGGTTACCCACACAGGTATTATGTTGGGACTGTATGTAAATACGTATACATGAACATACGTTATAGAAAAAAGCTTAAGTACAGTTGTACGTACAGTGAAACTTCTTGTTATGGACACTCCTGCAAAACAAACGCCTCTCAATATGGACATATTTTTGATTCCCCGGGAAGCTTCTATGAACAAACCATAACATACATGCTCCGCAAAACGGACACTTCCATGACCGGACGCGATAGTCATTTTTATCCTGAAACGTTATTTCTATCTCTTCAAACCAGACACTACTTTTCTAAATTTGAAACAAAAAACCTTTCTGCTTTTTCAGCAATTTTAAAGCATGTAAATTTTTGAGCCTCATCCGTAACTAAAAATATTGTGTAGCTATTTCACAACTAAAGAATCAATCTTACTCCTGTCCCCTTGCCTTATCTTTACAAAAAAGGAGCAAAAATGATACTGCTCTTGTGAAATAATTCAGTCAGTGGCATCTTTTTATCTGGATGACACAGATTATGAGACCCCTCAAGTTGAAATGAGGTCTAAAATGCTCTCAATGCTTCTTCCCTACTGAAAATTTATTTCATTTTCTTATCAATTTGAAGACTGTATTTAACCAACTGGGGAAAAGAAAGTGAACAGAAGTATAATCTTTTAGGTGTTCATATAAATGAAACATTTATTCAGACACTTGGTAGATAATCAATTGTGAATAATTAACACCATAGGTCCTCTTGACTTACAGGTATGCATTGCTTTTTTTTTGCAAATCCTGAGAGGTTTACTTTCTAGTAGGTATTAATCATGTTTCCTAACAAGTGATAGGTAGGTGTTAAGGGATGCAAACCTAATAATTGAAACTGACTAAGGACTAAAAGTTCCTATTCGGTATCATATATCTAACTTGAATATCTGTGGGAATAGGAAAATTATATTCATTTATCTGTAGCTACATCTAGAATTAAGTATTTATACCAATTTTTTTTTATATATTCCTTTTTATCGAAATAAATATTTTGTTAAATTCAAATAAATATCTTTGTAGATTATTTATTTATATCTCTGAAAATAATCTAAAAACAATTTATGGTGTTGAACTTCATTATTAGAGTACCCTTCCTATAAACAAACAACTCTCATTAACAGACAATTTCTTCATACCCAAGAATATCCGCTTAACCGATGTTTCACTGTATTTGTAAATACAGAGGTATGTCGCATGTACATGCATTCGTTCATACATACATGCATTATACATACACAAGTACGTATATTATACACATATACATACATTGTATGCATTTACAATGTAAATATGTATTTACAATTTATGCAGATACTTCTGTACATGCAATGTATGCATGTTGCAAGTGTGTACAATGCACAAAACAATGAACACCTGAATGATTTACCCAATTATCGATAAAATTTCATAGAAAATAAAATCGGATTTAATTAATAGTGAAGCGAAGATATTAGTGAATTTTTTCTTTTAGGAAAAAAGTTATATTATCCACACAAAAAAACTATATTTTCTTTTTTGTATTCTTTGCGTTCTATGTATGGTTTAAATTTGCAATGCCATTTCTCAAAATTAATTTATGCATCACTATTTAAAATAAAAAAAATTTTCTGTGAGTTTCATAATGAGTCTTATGAGAAATATATGTTTATTCTTGAACCATTTCAATATATAGGAAGTGCTCATTACAACTGTACTTTACTCGACATTTAATGATTACTTATATTGCTGTTTTACAATATTATTCTATACTTTACCCACCATATTCTCCAGAACTGGTGCCTTCGGATTATTATTTGTTCCGCTCACTGCAAAATGTTTTGGACTGTAAAACCTTTACTTCAAATGAAGAGGTCAAAAATCACCTGGATCAGTTTTTTGCTAGCAAAGACCAAAAAGTTTATGAGGGTGGAATCATGTTACTACCAGAAAGATGGCAAAAGGTGTTGGACCAGAAAGGCCAATATATAATTTAATAAAATATTCATTCATTACACGAAAATTGTCTTTCATTTTCCTCCCAAAAAAACTAAATTATTTTCCAAACAAAACAATAGATACAAAATGAAGAAGAAAAAAAATTTAATATAACTGATGTATTTTAAAAGATACACATAATACACACATTTTGCATGCTACTCTAATGAAAACAAAAACAATTTTTATAACATATTTCTATGATTACAAAGTTATATGTAATTTGTCTCTGATGACTATTCTCTGTTCAAATGTAAGATCTGATAACCTATTGCTTTTTAGTAAATTTGTCATAGTAGCATAGGTAAATAAACTTTCCACAGGTGCAGAAGACGGAAGAGGCGTGTTAAATCTCATAAATACAGATTTAATCGGTTCATAATAGTTCAATATTTGTGCATTATTTCTTCCGTCATTGAAAAAATTTGTTTCCTGCATTTCGGCTTCAGAGGTACAGGTCGGCTTCAGGCCTGTATAGTTCTTTCTTCTCCAAAGAAAAAAAAGTCATTGGTACAGTTATTCATGAAATTGAATTTCATCTGTTTTTATTTCATTTGTATCATAGAATCTTCATTTGTATTTTTATTGGTAATTCCAGAGAAACATTATCTTTAAGAGCAGTTAGTAATTTGTCATGTTTTTCCTTTGACATGCAAGAAAACCATCTGTTTTTAAACTTAGGATAAGTAAAAGCTGCTATTGCAGCATTTATTGATTCTGTAGAAGAAAAAATAAAAATATGTTCAAATCGCCTATTGAGATTTTCAAGGAGACTTTGTGCTATTGATTTACAATATCTAAATTCTTGCATGTTCAATTGTTCTAATTTGCGTTTAAGTGCCACTAACGTGGGTACGAGAACTCCATAGTATGCAAACGTTTCAGCTTGCAATATATCTAAAGCTTCTGCGATAGGCCTAGTATAAGTTAGATGTTTCTCAATGTATCTGATTTCTTCATCAAAAATAAAAACTATAATTTTCAAAGCCTGAAATAAAAGTCCAAATTTTGATTGGAATTGCAGAATTTTTCCTAGCACATGATACAGTGAATTCCTTCGAGTTTCCCATGGGTGTGGAAGTGTAAAACCTAATAAACTAATTACAATTTCTGTAACTTTTGGGCAAACTACTGCTCTACATAATACGTTGCATTTGTTTATGACATTCATATGCGTACGCCACAAACAATTTGATGCCCTTCATTAAGTCAGCAAATGAAATAAGATTTAATGTGTGTACTACATCTTATATGTTTGGGAAGGTATGGTAACTGCGGATTTGTTTTGTCATTTTCTACGCTGTTGGTTACATTAATTTCAGTAAAGGAAATTTCATCATTTGAATCAGTGTTTAAAAACATACCATTGTCTTTACTGATACATGCTCATCACTAATCTCATGTTACCTAATTGCTAGCATGTTATTACATAAATATATATTTACAGTACTTGTCAAAAGTTTAGACTCACTTGTATATTTTTCAGAACTTTCAAAAATAATTATATATTTCTAGCTTAAACTTGCAATTTATCAAATATGAACATCAACAAACTTCACAAAATCCTATTTTCATTTAAAACTGTTCATTATTTTTTCATTTTGTATCTATTCTGTAATTGATTACGAAATGAACAAAAGTGCATGTGAATACTTATTCTATAAAAAGTGTAATTTATTTTTAAAAAATTCATTAATTTTAATTTATAAACATTTTACTTTTCTTCTTCTTTTGTAAGGTTCATTATAAGCTAATTTCATGCGCATAACACACTTAAAATATTGATATAATAGCCTTAATTTGCCAGAATAACTTGGACATATTAATAACAAAAGTTAACATTTTTTTATACAATTTATTACAGAAATATGGGTCAAATGCTAGATATAAGTGCATAAACAGGTTAAGTTATTATTGCACTTCATGGTTAAGGCTATTAAAGTAGACAAATTGGCCTTAAAAACTAATGTTTCCCACAACACCCCATTTGTCAGAACTTTGCAAAAGAAGAATGAAACTGACCAAAATAAGAGCCATCAACGGTCCGGGAGACCTAGAATAATATGCAAACATGAGGATACGTTTATCTGCACTCAAAGTAAGCGGCAGCGGTCTCGAACAACACCAGATATCCGTGAGAGATTGAGGATTACTAGGCAGGTGGCTGAGTGGTAGCGCTTCGCGCTGTCGTGCCACAGGTCCCTGGTTCGATCCTCGGGCCTCGAAATTGTGTGGAAACTACATTGCATCAAAAAAAAGTACTGAAAGAAAAAAGTACTGAAATACGTGGATTGGTCCCCTCAATCCTCCGATATAAATCCTATTGAGCTATTGGGGGTGAACTAAATAGAATTGTTAGAAAAATGCGATGTACCAATCAAACCAAATTTTGGAAATCTTTACTTAGTTGCTGGAATCAGATCTCAACTAGAACATTACAAAAGCTAATAGAAAGAATGTCAAAAATATGCACTGCTGTGATTAAGGCTAAAGGAGTATATTTCAAATAATCCAAGATTGGATGAAATTCATAAGTTATATATAAAATATTATAGCATACCTTATCGCATAAGTGTATCTATAAATATCCTATGTCAAAATAGGATATTTATAGATACACTTAAAGTCAAGTTAATTTGTTGCGATTTTCAGTTTAAAAACTTTGCTATTTGTTCAATTTTAAAAATTCAGGAGTGAATCTAAACTTTTGTACTGTGTATATATATATATATGGGCAATTCCATGAAAGTGTCAACTTTTAAGTGAAATTTCTTTTTTATGAATTGCATATTTAAATTTTAAAAATATGTTCAAAAATAGCCAAGTCTACATATTACTGTTTAATTTTTGATAATTTAAAGTTTTTTGAATCTGGCAGCATTCTAAAGTAATCACATGGCTTCACATTTGTGCTCAAATTGTTTTCTTGAAAAATACTTATAAAATAAAAGAAATGTATCTTTCTTTTGCAATATTTTTATAAAAATATGCATATAGTACAAAATTTAAACATTTAAAACATAGCCTTTAAGTCATTTTAAGTTTAATATATTAAATAAAAGTAACTTTTTTTTGTGTCATTCCGTCACATGTTTTAGTATATTTTTTTAAATAGCAACTGCGTTTTTGAATGAAAACTGTGGTGAGGTTTTNTAATTTTCACTATTTTTTATACACAATATTCATGATTAGAATATATTTTGCATATATATATATATATATGTAGTACAGTAGGGAACCGATTATCCGGAACGATCGGGACCATCGGTATTCCGGATAACTGATTTTTCCGGTTTTCGGAATCGCTACAAAAAGACGTTTTTTTATTGTTAAACCCAACTAAAAAAAAATTTGGAAATAATCTTAAAAAGAAGAAAAAACGATGAAGTAATACACTAATGATTATTTCCAAAACGATAGTAAGGTGAACATCTTTCAAAAAAAAAAAGAAAAATCCTAAAATCTCATGAGGGAAAAAAAAATTTTTTTTTTTTAAATGGGGGGAAATTTTATCGAATTTCGTTCCGGTTTTTTGGTTTTCCGGTTTTCTGATTTCCGGATAACGGGTTCTGTACTGTATATTGTAATAATATAGTATAATGAAAGTAATATACATGTTTAAAAAAGTAATGTTTTCTTATGTCGCTTGCGAAGACTAGCAAGCCTCCTTTGAGAAACCAAGCAAATTTAAGATAGTGGGGGCACATTTTTTTTTTAATGGTACCACCATCTATGACCAAGAATACGATTTTTGCCACACTCCCGTTTTAGAGGGAGGACCCATTCATTCATCTACAGATCGTAATTTTTGATATTAACCAGAGAACAATCAATCACTGATTTAGTACCACCAGAGGTATTAATTTTTCACAAGGAACTTGGAAAATTTTGTGACCCCAACATATTTAACGTGCCCCAGTCACTATTTAATACACTATTTTAGCTGACTGGATTTCAGCTTATGATCTCACAAGTGTGAGCTAAACATTCTACAATCAAGCTGTCATGACCCATCTCAGGTTTTCAACCACTTTATCCGATTGCAACAGTTTATGATTCTTTTCAACAGGTTTTTATTGTGTCATTTCAAAAACCCAGTGGAACCCCGCTTATATTGTTCTATTGTTTTTTTAAAAAAAGATATCAATTTCAAACTTATAAATCCGTATTAAAGTTAACAGATCATTAGATAAGTATAAAATTCATAGAAGTAGTATATGAAAAATATTTAAGGATTACATTACAATTATATTACACTTAAATTTAAATGCTTTGAATTTTTTACAGATCATCTACCAAAACAAGAACTTCGGAAATTATTCTTATTTTGTAATTTTTATCAAATAACTCACTGTGAATCGACAAAATATGGTGCACCTTTGAAAAATGAGACACTAGACGACACACAGAGCAAATACAAATTGAATTATTTTATTCACATACTTTTACTAAAACCATTTTTAAAAATATTTCCAACACCAACAGTCTTTAAAATTTGAGCATGAGTACTGAGTGCAAAAGCTGGTGTGAAGTCATTTCAGCATGCTCTTTCTGTTTTAACTAAAATTGTGAACTTTGTATGCGAATGTGCTCCAAATACTTGCTAATTCCTCGTTATAGGAAATAGAATTTAAATAGAGATGTAGTAGTTGAATGATTTCATGAAATCAAGTGTAACAACATTTGTGGACAAATTCTTCACATATTTGTTACACTTTTCAATGTAACAAAAAATTGTCACAGAAAAATAACAAGAATTTCCACAACTTATAGGCCCAATTTAACAGTGTGATTATATATATATACATATATATATATATTGTTGGTTTATTAAATATACCTTTTAAGTTATCATGATTCGTCAATTGGGATACCTCGTTAAAGATGCATGCAGCTTAACAGTAGGTATGAACATACAATGTACATTTCTACGTACAAAAGTGCATGTATATGCGTGAATACAAAATACATACCATTTATGTATGTACGTGTGTGTTTATTGTACGTATGTTGTATGCAATTCAATGTTAAAAAGTTTTAATTTAGTAAACCAAACAATAGAATTCATTTAGATATACAATACATGTATTGTCATAAAATGTAATCAATTACCAACGATTCTGATAATAATGTAATCAATCCCACCTGAAATTAGGACAACATTTAATAGTGCTGTTATCATATATATTTCAATTACTTAGAGTATTTGTAAATGTTAGGCTATGATCACTGAGAATTATGATTACTTGTATTTATACTTCATGATGACACATAATTTCTGACAACAATCCTAGGATTTAATTACTTATAATACTGATTATTTGCAATCACTTTTTGTTGTGATAAACAATCATAACTGTTTATAATGAGAAATAATTATTTGTTACCATGATGATTACTTGTAATTATGATTACAAGATGTTGATTACAATGTAATCATTATTATCTGTAATTAATTACATTTGTTTGATGACATATCGGCGGGAAAGTTGCAGTAAAATGACATGATATTTTAATTTTGTTCCCAATATTCAAAAAAGTATTCAGAAAATTTAGTGAAGACTAATAAATTTATTCATCAATCATTATTCAAAAATAATGACTCAATTTTCATGTGAATAATCATTCAGAATAAATTTATTCTGTCTAAGTTTAGTCATGAGTAAAATTTCCATGAATGATGTCCAACACTGGAAAACATACATTTTCAAAAATAAAAAAAATACAAAAACTATTCAAAAATAGGCTAGGAAAACCTTGAATAAACTTTAAAGGAAGGAACATAACGATTGCAAGGAATGTGACGCAAACAAAATTCCTACTAATCTGTCAAGAGGGGAATTAAAATCCTTGTTCAAATTATACCTTCAGTCAGTTACTATGACCTATACTTCCTATTATTTATATTCTCCAGTTTTTTGACAGGGAATGAGAAATGAACAGGAATAAAGAAAGTGGTCATCAGAGCAACAGTATTGGGTGAGTTGTGGAGAGTATAGACTTAGGAAGTCTATTGGGAAAAGATGGTTTTTATTGGGTCATAATTTTTGCAATGAGGATCAAGTGAGATAAGGGTATTGGCAACATTTTGATAAAGATTGTGGTGGTAATCGTCTACCAATTTCACGTTAAAACCCCCCATTGATTTCATATTAGGGTGCATTCTGGGAAAAATCCTTATAAAACAGACAAAATAAAAGCAGAGAACATCATGAAAGTGATCCCAAAGAATAGATTCTTTATGATGTTAAAAAAAAAGGTTGGTGATGGCAAAGTTTTCAACAACTTAGTTTTTTTTTTTTTTAACTTTAAAATTTTATCATTTAAGTCACGTCTATATATTTGTAATTTTTAAATTTATAAGCACCACACCAATCACAACTGAAATTAGGGTGCATAAAACTAATAGTTTTTACTACAAAAAATAACAAGCATAGTAAATATTAACAATGAGTTTACTTTGTAAGAATTAGGCCTGTTTGAGCCTTGTTATATAATATCTATATTACTTTCTTTTAGCATTTAATATATAGGTCAGAAAATTCAAGATCATTATACAATAACAAAATAAATTAAACAAGGTCTACAAGGTTTCCAAAATTTTATATATAATGTCCCCTATTGAAAATATTGTATTAGAGTTTAATGAAAAGTGTGTTTCTACACAATTCTTCAGGGACTAAATAAAGAGCACAATGCACTATTAACAAAAACAACTATACCACTAAATAGCATACTATGGTATTATAAGTATATTTTGCTGAACATATTTTCCAATATTACAAAATCTTACCTTTTCTATATAATACAAAGCCCAGTGCCAAAAATTATGGCATGCTAACAAACCACAGACCTGTAACATTTAAAAGGAAGAGTTCAATTTTATGATATTTATTAAAAGAATATTTTAGATCTAACTAACCAGCACCACACTAAATTCATAAGTAATTCAAGGATACTTCATTCAATAAACCAATACAAATTTTGAAAAACTACCTAATTCTTTTTCCCATACTGTTTTCAACCGTATAGATAAATTAATAAAAAGTATTTTTATACATATTTTTTTTCAAAAATAATCATTTGCAGAAATTAATGTCAATGTTTTCACTTACTTCAATATGCTTTTTAAGGAAGGAAAAAAAAATTTTTACATAAGTCTTAAAAGCAAAATTAAGGAAATAAGGATGCAATTAATAAAGGAAAAAATGAAAACTCAAATGGAATTAAAGGATGATAAAAAAATAATTTAAAAAATTTAAACACAGGGCTGGAAAATTATAAATTAAATTAACCATTTTTAGACAAAGTTCTTAAAATTGTGACAATTTAAAAGGATGATTTTTGTAGAAAATATTGACTTCAAAAAACTTAAATCTTGAGAAGCAAAATTGGAAAATGATTAAAATATCCTTAGTAACATAATAGTTCAATCATATTTTCAAATAAAACTTGAAATTTACACTGTCATTTTCAGAAAAGATTATCACCAAACACTGATTCAGCCCCCCATCAAATTTTGACAAAAAAAATTTTTTTTTTAAAGGGAGTGTTTAAATGATACCAGCCGTAAGATGCCAACTCTAGTTGGTTAAATTACATGCCTTATCAAAAATATTTTTTATCATAATAATGGGATAGATACACAATATAATTACAAAAATAGATTTCTAAAATATATTTAGTAACTGCATTTTAATCTGTTTGATTTTTGTAAAATGTCAGCACAATTGTAACTTGTAAATTAAGAATGCTCATAAATCGTTTAAACAATAAACAAATAAAATTATGATAAACGAAATATTAATATGAAATTCAATGCATTTATTACAGATTTACAAGCACATTTAATTATGTCAGTTTTATAATTTTCTTCATTAACATTACAAACCGGGAATGAAACAAGAAATCTTTGCTTTCCTAAAACGAAAACAAAACTAAGCAACTCAATATTAAACCAGTAATTTCTCACCCCCTAAGAAAACTAAGCCATTCCTCGATTTTCTACTCTTTATTCACTTATCTTTTTTCTACCCCTCCATATCTGTTGTCATTATCGGAGAATGAAACAAACTGAATTCTATCATCTGCTTGAATAATAAGAAAGCAATGCTCTTTCCTTTTTTTTACTATTCATTCTCTCACTATTTCCCCCCCCCCATTTATCCTTTTCCATTTCATCTAGTGTCGTCAATTTATAGTTTTGTCAATTTACTTTGTATTTATTCATCCAAAATCGCATACTGTAAGGAAAATAAGCACCTTCCCTTACTACTGGCGACCCAAACGTGATATGATCATGTCTATGTCGATGGGCGGTCCACATTGAACAGTTGACTAGCTATTTGTGACTGCTATTGTTTCCCGAAATACTTGCTGATTTTTTAAATTCACAAGGCTTTAAACAGTGATGTGCCTTGTTTCCAAATTTATAATGGTACCAACATAGCTTATAACGAGAAGATTGGGGGTTGGGATCTCGAACGGTCTCGAGCATTTACAGATTTATTTTGAGATCTACCCCTTGCGATGATTCATCGCAAGGGGTAGAGGATTCATGTGATGATTCATCACAAATTTCCTTGTCAATTCTGCAATACTAATCTCCAAGGAATTAATATTTTCGTTATTAGTGTTATTATGTTCAAAACTTTTATCGATACTCTATTCACTGTACATGATTCTGTTGAGCTAAATATACCAATGATTTTATCTGCCATCTCGGCAATTTTGCCCAAAGAATCAGAGTTTAGAGATAATATCGCTTGAACCTGCCGAGGTAACCTCTGTAGCCAAAGTGATTTTAATAATTCTTCAGAAATGAAAAGTTCAGCCAAACCTTTCATTTGTCGTAACGAGTCAGATGGACGTTTATCGCCAAGATTAAGTTCAGTCAGTACCTTTTTCAACCTGGCTTCTTCAGTATCTGTTAATCTATTCATCAAAGCATTTTTTAAAGTATCATATTTTCCATTCATTGGCAGGTTGGACAAAATATCCACAACAAAATCTAAGACATTTTCTTCAGAGACAATGACAATGTTATACTTAGTTAAAACATGAGTAATATTGCCGTTAACAAACGGTGCTTTGAGTTGTAAAAACCATAATTTAGGTTTATGTCGCCAAAAAATTGGTGTTTTATCGCCACTTTGTTTACTTCTAAATTCACATTATCTTGAGTTGATGAATTTATATAATCATTTGTGCCTTCCTCCATGTTTAATATCAAGTTAAAAAAGAAAATAATAATGATATTTAAATACACCTTGATATAATGATATTTGAATACAAACCTTTTTTCATCCAATTAAATTCTTTGCAATTTTGAAGTAATCACGTCCTGTGGTCACCAGTTGTGTGGGGAGTAGATATCGACAATGCCTACCTTCATCTATCAGAAGGTACCTCAAGATTGAATCGAGTTCGTGTGTCTTATATACTAGTGAATTGGTGTTAAATAATCGTAGTGGTAGTTACGCCACACCAGTATAGATACGATACTTTTTAAAAAAATCACAACTTATCTATAAATGTTTAATGTTGAGTTAAGCAAAGTTAAAAAGCTAAAATGTTTTTCATTCAATTGAACAATAATTGGGTTTGGCTTATTGCCAATTAAAAAAATAAAAAGAAGGATTCAGAAAAAATGTATTTTAAGTTTAATAAAGACATAATAAGTGAATCATAGTACTAGATAAAGTTTTATATCTTTGATAGAAAGAAAAATTCTGCTCAAAAAACTAAGTTCTGAAACATTTTTAATCAGATAATACGTGATTTAAACAGTTTATAATCAGCACAGCACTCATAGTTAAATAAACAGAATGAAATTTTCCAGTTTTGACTAAAAATTATCAATTAAATAACCATGAAAAGAGTGTTATTATAACAAAAGATAAAATATCTTTCAATATATACAATTTTGATGCTTGAATAAAATAGTGGTTGTAAAAGAATGTCAGGATCAAAGAAAAATACAACAATATGATACCTAAAAAATATCAGATTTTTGGAAAGATACTGTAAAAGTTTTACTCTGAAAAAAATAAACAGCACTGTAAAATTCTAAAAGTTAAATATTTGGAAAGTTTTGATGATTTTAAAAAAAATTTCAGAATAAGTTTCATTAAACTTTAATTCCAAAATTTTCTTTCTACGGACTGTGATAAACATTTAGTGATAATTTGTATGAATTTAAATAATAGTTTTCCAGTAATAAACCTAGAAATACTTGATTTTATAACTCTTTGTTTCTTCCTATCTCAATGTTAAAATAAGTGTACCTAAATTTAAAATGTCAAAATGCTAACAAACCTTCCAATCTTCCACAGTATTTTGAAGAAATGTAACACCTTCATCTACTCTTCCTTCCATTTCAAATACATGAGCTAGTGCATGAGTAGACCATGCATCCTTTGCATTAATTTCTAAACCCTATAATTTAAAATATATAATATAAAGAAACAATACATTATATGTAAAAAAAATGAAAAAACAAATTTTAAAATAATGTCAATATAGAGTACTCACACCTAAAACCTTGCCAGACCAAACCTCGATTTTGATCATTAAAAGAAAAAAATTCCCCTTCATATTTTCTATACACTCAATGTTTAAAAAAAAAACTTATCTTGACCAAAAAAAATTCTCCTTGTTTGACAACTTTTCTTTCCAACAGAAATTTTCAAAATAACAAAACTATTCTGCAAAAATACTTTATGTGAATACTGCCAAAATCACAAAACTACATAAAAAATTATAATTTAATAGTAATTGTTATTTAATATAATTAATAATTTAATATTATAATTTATAATTAAAATACAATAATTTAGTATTTTCACAAATACAGTCAAACTGAAATAAAACGAGTCCTGATTTAGCGAAACCCAGATTTAATGAAGAAATCAGAAATACTTTGTTGATATAATATTAAGTGTATTACTCATAGCTCACTTTCAACAAGCAAACCCCAGGTTTATTGAGCAATATTTTTGTGATTCATAAAATATCTACATAATTACACATCTCCAGCTTAAAAAATTCCTCTTTTTTTTCAGGACAACAAATTCCTTTTTGATTGGAACAGGGCCAGATTTTATAGACTAGCAAGTAGCAAATTGCTAGTTTAAAAATCAAATGCTAGTTACAGAAAACATGGTAGTGAAAATTGGCAATAATCTTTTAGTCTAGTTTTGCAATTGTTTTTTCATCCTTTTACAAGTGGTTTTTCAAACTCTGATATATGTCATTATAATAAGTGAATTTTGAATTATAGTTATCACTTGTGACAGCTCAAAGGCACTCGACACACTCAAATAATGATAATTCCGTCGTAAATCTGGGTTGCTTCCTGACACAATAAATTGGTAGTTATTTATTGCTTTGTAAGCCATTTCCATATGGATTTTAAAATTCCAAATTTAATTGCGATGTAATTAGGAAAAGCAAATTTATATTAGAATAATAATCACTTTTTGACCTGATTGTTTTGCAACAATTCCATTATAAATCCACATTGCTTCCCAATAATTTTTTTAACAGTAAATTATTGGTTTTTCGGCCATCTCTGCATGGTGTTCTCTAACTCCAATATTTTTTATACCTTATTGTAACACCTAAAGTTGGAATTTGAATTATAACTACTTTTAACTCAATTTGTGAGGTTCTATCATAAATCCACATCGTTTTTCAGCATTTTTTCATAATGTTTTCGAATTAAGACTTTTTAATATGATGTCATTGGGACACACTAGTTTCGAATTTGAGTAACTACCACTTTACTTGCTTATTTTTTACTATTCTATTGTTAATCCACATCGTTTTCAGACAGCTTACTTGGCAATACTTTTTCGTTCTTACGGCCTTTTTCACATGGTTTTTCAAAAGCAATAGTTTTAAAGCAATGTTATGAAGACACATAAATTTCACAATTGAGTATCACTTTCTGACACTTTTAATCACTTTTTAGAGTGATATACTTGTGGCTATGCCATCGTTGTAAGTCAACATCATCTTCCCTACATACACTTCATTTTTGTAGTCATTTCCACATCAGCCTTATATACACTTCTTTTTGCAGTCATTTACACACTAAATCTTGGTATTTAAAACATATTTGTACTGCCGACTAATTTAAGTAATAAAGTTTTGATAATAAAGACTAATTTAAGTAATAAAGCCCAACTTGCGACTATCAAAATTTACTTTCGTTTTTAGACCACTTCACTGTTTTCAACATGGTTTTTAAAATCTCAATGATTTTAATACATTATTACAATACGCAAAATTTTCAAAAATGCAAGGTACTTTAAAAAATCAATTCCCAGACTGTGTATATTCATCGCAATAATTTACCCATTAAAAGCTATAAATATTATGAATTCCTAAAGAGTCACACCCTTTCTTTGGGAACTCTATTATACCAAAATATACATGTGATACATAAATGTATAAATGTCATATTATACTAAATAGATAAATGTTATATAATACCAAAATAAAGTCCTTTTATTCATATAATTTATTTTAATTAATAATTTTAAAAAACTGCATAATTTTAAAAAACTGCAAAAATTTAATTAATGAAACAAAAATTTACAAATTTTATATTTTGTCAAATTTAGTGCATTATTTTGATATAATGAAACAGATATTTTTACAACAAAAATAGCATAAAACAGCATTATTTTAAAATATTAGTCAGAAAATTCACAAAAGTTACCGTGTGAAAATAATATTTTGTGGAGAACAAACACAACCCTTTAAAATTTTATCAAGAGTAAAACAGGGTTATATTCTCTCCTCAACAATCTTTTAATAGTCATTGATTGGATTATGAAAAAAGTAGATAACAACAATAAGGCTATAAGATAGTCGCGAATGGAATATCTCAGTGACTTGGATTTTGCAGATGATCTCAGTCTTCTAACAAGCAACCTACAACATACGCAAACCTATACAAATACCCTATATACCGCAGCAAAAAGATGTGGATTAAAGATTAACAAAGACAAAACAAAGATCATGAAAATTAACTCAAAGCAGAATACCAACATATATCTCAAAAAAACTGTCTATTTGAAGAAGTTTTACCTACCTTGGATCAATTATTAATGGCAGAGAAGGTACAGATAACCAACAGATTGAATAAAGCACAAAGTGCTTTTGCTATTTTAAATAAATTTTGAGCATGCGGGACTACATCAAATGAAAAAAAAATAAGAATATTGAACTCAAATGTTAAAACAGTACTTCTATATGGATCAGAAACAATGTACAACTTGAAAACCAATACAAATAAGTAACAGGCTTTTATCTACAAATGTATCAGAAGAATTCTTAATTTAAAATGGTTTCACAAAATATCTAACAATGAATCATTCAAAATCAGTAAGCAAAAAGTAACAGAAATTAAAATCAGAGAACGCAAATAGGGATAGATTGGACACATTATCAGAAAGCCAGAAAAATTTAAAGTAAAACATTGGCTGGACTGGACATTTCAGGTAAACAAAAGAGGTGTAGGCCTAAAATGATATGGAGCAGAGCTATTATCAATGAATTAAAGACAATAAACAAAACATGGAAAGAAATAAAGTTTTTGGCTGCCAATAGGATGAGATGGAGAGTCACGACAAAGGTCCTATGTTCCCTATAGAGTAAAGAGGTATAAGAAAAAGTGGTACTTGAACTTTCATACAAGTATAAACATTTAACGTTAATCATTTAATAAACCTTTTATAGTAATATGTTTCACAGTAACAATTTTGTTTCATTTTTCACATCACAAAATATATTACAATACAACTTCAAAAAATGCTGGTTATGAACCCTGGTTGTGCTACTGGCATTTTTCCATGCTAACAAATTCTGCTACTGTTTTTAAAAAATTAAATTGTGCCTTGATGTCAATGTTTTTTGGGAAATCAGTCTTATCCCATAAACAATAACACAACATAGAGACAGTATTACAGTACAAAACAAATTGACTATTTTTTGGACTGCGCAGAAATAAAAATAAGAGTGCCATATTTATAATTTAGTAAGTAGGGTAAGAACTTTTATGACTTTTTAACAGATTCATTTTTTCTGAGCACTCATTTGCAACGAGCAAATATTACGCTCATTTCAAGCGAGTTCCAACGTTCTAAACCAGAGCCTTAATAAAGAGAACTGTTATAATTATACTAATGAACAAAAAATTATTTATCAAAGAAATTTCTGTGAAACAGAAAAAATATATTAGCATAAAAATTACCTTTTTAGCATTGTTTTCTGCTTTTTTGTATGATTCAATTTCAACCAATCCAAATGCATACATTCCAAATAGGTGGCTAAAATAAAAATACACTAACTATAACATTTATAGCCAAAAAATTAAGAGATAAGTATAAAACTAATCATTCATTGATAACATGCACATACAAAACTTAACAAAATTGCGTTTTGCTTTAATTACTCATTGATTATATCAATTGAACATTGTTGACATTAGATATTATATGACACAACTCTTCAATTAGTGGTGGGGAAACCAGTAACCACACGACAAAAAAAAATATTATTAATCAATGAAACATCATGAACCCTTGTTATCACTTACATACACTACCTGACCAAAAGTATCCAGATACCCAGCGGTACAAACTCAAGAGTCAAGGGGCATATATTAATATGATACTGGCTCCCCTTTCGCATTAATGACAATCTGCACATGTCAGGGGATTAATACCAGTTTTTGATAGGCCATAGGAATTGACTTCCAAACATTCATCATAGTTGAGGAGTGTACTGGTAATGAGAATTGTAGATTTGGCTGGTTGTGTTTTAAATTGTCCCATAGGTGGTTTATAGGATTTAGGATCAGGACTCTGAAAAGGCCAGTCTAGTTTTTGAACATCCATTTCATTAAACTGTGGCTGTAGAAGTTATGAGTGAATTGAAAAATTATTCTGCGGGAAGAGAAAAGGGCCTCCCAGAAATATTGCCACAGAGTGGGGAGAGCAACAGCGTTCAGAATGTCCACATACAACTCAGAGTTCATAATTAAAACCAAGGACAGACATGTCAACCTCAAATTCAAAAAGCCTGAAATTTTTTGTGACTACTACATAGCATGATAAGCAAAACAATAATAAAGATTAAAAAAGTGAGTGATTTAGCATTTTTGTTAAAACTTTATAAAAAAAAAAAAAAAGCTGTTTGTTTTTACAAAGAAAAACAGAATTAAGTCTGAATTTTTGTTACTTGGCTGAATATTTTCTAACAAGTTGCATCGTTAGAAAGAATGATAAATACTGCCAGCTTTAATCGACCCACACACTTTAAGCACTACTTTTCCTATATTAACTTTACAGCATTTTGTATTATATTGTTGAACATATTGTTTGAAAAATATTACCAAAAGAATGAAAAAATTCTGAAAATTTCATTTAAAGCAGATAATTAAAGTGTTATTATAGATGCAGAAAGAGAATATTCAGATTACTAGTTTAATAAGTTTAACATACTTAGAAATAGAAACCTTTCTGCCATTTCTGTTTATTTTGTAAGCCATGATAAACAAGAATATTGTACTTTTGTTTGTAACTCAGCAGCTTACAAATTGCATCCTCAAAGGATGCGTGTTACACAGGTTACAGCTAGGGGAAATAATTAGTACATAGTCTAACCACCTGATGTTGTCTGGCAAAAAAATAAAATTTAAAAAAATAATAACTTTCAAGCAAAATTTTTACAAATTTGTTTAACATAGATTTTGATGTTATCATTTAGTGCATATTCCTTAATGAGTTTTTTATAACTGAAGTTTTCAATTAAGAAATGATTTTCAGATAATAAGAAAAAACTTAATTTTAAAAAGGAGAGATTGTATAACTAAAACTCAAAGAATTTTTTGAATTCATTTCACAAAAGTAAAGAAAACAGGAACTTCATACTAGGATACATTCTAGATTTATATTAGGAACTTCCGTGTTTTCTCTCTAGCACAATCATTCTGAATTATAATATAAGTTTTACCCATAAAGAGGAATATCAGGAGACCAATGAGGAAGAACTCTTTCAATAGAATCTTTCATTTCCTTTTGATAACCCAAATAAAAATATGTATCATGCGCCATTTTAAGAGCTAAAATATCAGTAGGATGTTTCTGTAATATCTCATCCCATATCACTGTTGCATCAATCAGATTTCTGAAATTGAATAAAAAATGCATTCAGTTGAAATTAATAAAAATATATTTCACTTAAATGAATAATAAGCATTAAATGCATTGAATTAAATTTCAAAAAATTATTCATAACACAAATCTTGAAATATTGACCATTATTTATTTACATACATCATTAGTTTTCTAGCATCGCATATCTATTGCAGAAGAGTTCTAACTTGTTTTGGAGAACTAAAACTGTTCTAGTCTGAATGAGCCTGAGATATACGTTGAATAAAAGCTAAATTTTGTGGCCACAAAGATAAAGAAACCAAACGAAAGTAGCGGATCATCAGAATTTTTTATACCTTATAATTTCTATATTTCTTATATTTCATGACTGAATCAAACATATATTATAAAGCAGTAAAAAAAATTTATGTAAATTTTATCATGAGTCTAACCCCAAAACCAAGTCTTTTTAGTAAACAAACCTGGGCCTGCATCGGACTTAGAAGAGAGAAGGCCTCAGCACCATAAACAAGAAACTTGATCTTTTAGTAGACCAAACAATGACATTTTTCATAATGTCGGACTACTAAATTAATCCAAGCTGAGGTCTTCTCTCTTCCAGAAAGTGCTGATTGGACCCGTGCTGAGATTGTCTCATCTCTAATATCTATGACCTAATTTAATTGCTCATTAACTCATTATAATACTCATCTCTTTATACTATGAAGATAGAAAAGCGGTGGTTCAGGGGATAGAGCAACAGTGGCTAATTGATACAAATTCTTCTCTCAGCTTGCACTGACCAAAGTGCACACGCAGAAAATTTTAATGTGTTGTGGATAGTAATAATGTATTCAAAATGTCAAAATGGTTAAAAAGAATAAAAAGTAACAGCAATAACTGCTGATAAATTTATCAGAAGTTAATGTGGATTTATGATCCAGAATCGTCAAAAAACTGCCAAAACACGATGTCAATGTGGATTTATAAAGGAATTGTTATGAGTCAAACATGACAAAAAGTGATAACTTAAATACGAAATTTGCGGGTCAAAATAAAGTATTAAAAACATCAGATTTTGAAAAATCATGTGGAAAGGGCTGAAAAAAGTATAAATACTAACTGAAAATTATCATCCAATGACGCTAAGTTACAATGTAATTGTCACAAATCAGACGCATCAAAAAATGATAACTTAAATTCGAACTTAGTAATAACAGTATATTAAAAATAGCAGAGTTTGAAAAATTATCTGAAAGAGGTCAAAAAAATAATAGATAACTTCTGAAAGACTTGATAAACGACTTGAAATTTTGATGGGATCATCACAAATTAAAGGTATCAATAAGTGATAACTCAAATTCAAATTTTGCATGTCATAATAATATTGTATTAAAAATATCAAAATTTGAAAAACCATGCGAAAAGGACCGAAAAAATTATAAATAGCTTTCGAAAAATCTATCACAAAATGAAGTGATATTGGGCTTAAATCATCACAAATTGAGAGCGTCAAAAATTTATACCTCATTTCAGAAATTCGCTCATTGTTATAGCATTTTATTAAAAATATCGGAATTGAATAAAACCACATACAAACTGCCAAAAAATTATTAGAAAAACTAACATTACAATGATATGCTATGAAAAAAAATTACAATGGAACCATCACAAATAGATCAAAAATAAATATCGCAACCTCTGGTCTGGCCAATACTCATAGTCATAACTCGACGTCATAATCATAACTTCTGATCTGTTGTATAACTAGGCCAATGTTATAATTGTGAGAGCAAAGGCATTTTAAAACTTAGGCATCAAAAATAACGACTGGGTGTAATTTCTAAGAGTCAAATTTAAATATTTAGGTGCAAATAAGACTACCAACCACTTATGTCAAACCCTGACTGCAGGTTATATTAATAAAATCAAGATGTAATAGAAGTACATAGAATGTTCTGATGAATCTTCTTATATTGATTCTAAACAGTAGAAACTAATTTATACCATCTCTATGAATTATAAGAGTTATTGTTTTCATTATTGTGATACATCTTTTGCTTTTAAATTTGAGCACTTTTAACTTTTTATAGTTTTCAGACACTTGGGATATCTCTACAGAATATTTGCTAATTTTGTTTAATAACTTAATATTCTGAGCTATCTATCTAAAATCATAATTTAATAATATTAGCATACCCAGAAGCCCAAGATGAAAGTGCTTTTACATGGTCTTTTTCTCTAGGAGTTAAGACACAAGCTTGACTTTCAACCATGTGTTCCAAGTTCTCAACATCCTTTTGAAAGTTTTCATCCAATAAAACACTTCGCCCAGTACCAAGCAAATCAAAACCGACTGAAAGAGCTTTTCCCATTACTGAAAAGAAAAAATCCACATTATCATAAAATTGGGAAATTTTTTAGTTATACCATAATTTAAGACTTGAAATATCATTTAAATATTTACTTTTTAAAATAATTTTTAAATATTTTGTCAGACATACATGCATTATAAAATACTACAACTTTTAATAGAACTGAAAAAGAAATTCAATCAACAAAAAATTTGACTTTTATCAAGTAAACTATAAAGATAAATTTTATTTTGCATTCTTATAGCTTCCATACATCATATAATTTGAAGCATTTTGGTAAAAAAATTCAAACAAATTGATTCTCAACAAATATTAAAATAACTTACCTAAAAAAGTAGTGGTGTTTTTATAGCTGCATTATTTTTAGCTGATTATGACATGCTTAATTGAACATGGTTTAAATTAAACTTTGAAAATGTTTCAACTTAACAATATTCGAAATAGTATTGACTTATGATTATAAGATTTTCTTTCAAAAATTACAACACTCCGCCAAAAGCCGTGGTGGCTCAGGGGATAGAGCTTTCATCTTCCAATCAGGTGAACCGGGTTCGAATCCCAGCAATGGATGGTCGATAAAAATTTTGCACCTAGCTCACACCAACCACAGTGCTGATGTAAAAATATCTTCAGTGGTAGACGGTTCTTGAGTCTCTTTACTTTGGAGGTAAATGTGGTTTTATTCTCCATGAAAAGCAAATGCGGGTTAGTTCCATCAAAAAATTCCTCCTGGAAGGCAAATTTTTCTCAATACTTGAATACTTTTTCTCAATGCTTGATCTTTCCGGGACAGTGTAATATATAGAGATATTGTACATGCTCTATCACAGTGTTTCCCAACGTGGGGCCCACGCCCCACTGGGGGGCAATTTAATTGTTAAAGGGGGCAATTCGAAGATGGACTACACGACTTTAACCCTTTTGCTCTGGGCCATTTAAATGTTTCTAATTTAAATGTTAAATGGGTCTAAAGATTTCGATGCCAAAATTGAAAGAAAAAAGCAAATTTTTGAATAGTTGCAACCAATTAATATTATAAATTCGTTTGACGAGACCAAAATATCAACTGGGTTTTTGGTGGCGTCAAGTTGACCTCCCTGCGGTCGACGGCAGGCTCCGCGTGAACCCCCGGACGCTTTAAAGTCTCGCTAAACAATGCAGTTGTTTGCATCTGAAAAATAGACGAAATGAGTGAAGATATTGAAAAACAACTTGTTTAAAAGCTGAAAACAAGAAAATTCTCAGTGCAAATGGATGAATCAACTTTGATTGACAGTGTGGCAGTATTGATAACTTACGTAAGATATATTGATAAAGGGCATTTTAATGAAGAAATGTTGTTCTGTGAAAAATTAGAAAGCAATGAAAAATATAACATTAGAAGAATGAAAAATATAACATCTTGTGCTGCAGATGATGCTCCTAATATGATGGGCAAGAAAAATAGTTGCTTACAATTGATGAAAGATGAGAATCCAGAAACGATTCTTGTGCATTGTGTTATTCATAGGGAAAACTTGGTAGCTAAAAACATCTCGCCTGTTTTAAATAAAGTACTACATTCAGTAATAAAGTGTATCAATGCTATTAAAGCTAATGCCAAATGTGAGTGTCTCTTCAAGCTATTTTGTGAAGAATAAAATGCAGACCATGTGAGACTTTTACTTCACAGTAAGATGGCTCTCTAAAGGGAACTGCTTGAAAAGATTTTTGGAATTGTTTGATACTCTTAGTGATTTATTAAGCGACAAACCTGAAATGAAGTATCCGTTAACAGTCGATGGTAAAGCATTTGTGAGTTATTTAACCGATATTTTTGAAGAACTAAATATATTAAATAAAGTACTACATTCAGTAATAAAGTGTATCAATGCTATTAAAGCTAATGCCAAATGTGAGTGTCTCTTCAAGCTATTTTGTACTATTACTTCAAGGAACAAATAAAACTCTTGTTGATGCAAAAGCGAAGATATTTGGTTTCATTACCCTTATTGAGTTATGTCAGAAATATATTAACAACAAAGTCTTCGAACAGTTTCATTGGCTCTAAAAATGTGAAGTAAATGATGCCGCTTTACTTGTTATTGTCGATCAACTGAAAACTCCATCGACTGATTTAAAAGAAATATTTTCTGATTTAAAATAAATTGATTTTCCAGCATGGATGGTGCAGCCAACGTTAGTGGATTTGTCTGATATGTTAAATATGCAGTATCAAAAAGAACTCGCAGAAATGCAAAATGATGAGTCAGTTAAAACTTTCTTTAATATAAAAGGAGTGATGGCATGGCTTTGCGAGGAAACAGAAATCAAATACCCAAATTGAACCAAATGTGCAAGAAAACTATTGTTACCGCTTCCATCTTCATGTTCAACTGAATGTGGATTTAGTGCTGTAAATGATTTACTGGTAAAAAAAAAGAAATCATCTGGATATAACACAACGGGGAGATTTGAGACTGAAGCTAACCAAATTGGAACCTAACATAAAATCTCTGTGCAGCAAGCATCAAGCGCAAGGATCTCACTAAATTGAAATATTGAATTATTATAGAAAAATTTTGATTAAAATTATTTCGCATTTGTATTTTAGTTTTTCACTATATGTTTTGAAAATGTACTTACTATGTTTCGTTAACAATTTCCTAGTGATTTCTTCCTAAAACCTATCATTTAAGTTTTTTAAGGGAACAATTCAATTTTTGAATATTAAAAATAACTTATATGTTACATAGGGGGGCATAAGAATTTTAAAAAGGTTTAGGTGGGGCATGGCACGAAAAAGGTTGGGAAACACTGCTCTATCACATTTCTGTGGTATCTAATAAAATTGAGGTAGCTGAAATTATTTTCAAAATCTAGTTGCAGTTAAATTTGTCACTCTCACAGCATGCATTTACATATGGAAAAACCATTGGGCATAGATATTATTTATCTAAAAGCTGAAAAAACCTTTAAATTTTAAATTAACATCGTATCTAGAAAATATTAAAATGTTCTAAGAGACTTCAATATTTAATTAACATAATGAAAAAAATTTTTATTTAAGAGCAATAATATAAAAATCAATAGTTGTAGCATACTCTGATAGTTTTAACATGCATTGTATAAACAAAATCTCATAATTTTTAATCATAGTTATCAGTAAGAGCAGTTAAATTTTTAAAAACAAAAATTTTAAAGTATTTGTTTACCAAAGTTTGGATCAGCTACAATCATCTCTTCAATAGTTTTCGATAATCCGCCAAGTGAGGGATCTTCATACCAACCAACATACTAGCAAAGAAAAATGGTGTTCAATTTGTAAACAGTAACAACTTTTAAGAATCAGAGACAGCATTAAGAATCAAAGGTTTTAGAAAACCAAATTGCATAGAAAAAATGTAAAAGGAAAGGAAAAAAAACAAAGTACATAAACAATAAAGTTATACTTCTAAAACAACCAATGAAAATTCTGAATCATTAAAAAAAATATATTGAACTGTTAAGGCATACCTGAGATATTGCTGCATCATACAATTTACATGCTTGATCATTTGTTGATGAAAGAGGAAGGCCTTCTTTTCTCCATTCCTATAAAAAAGATTTTTATTACTACAATAATGAGTAATATTTTGTTAATTATAATTTTAAAGCCAATTAAGGCCCATGCTGAGTGGGTGGCTAGGAAATGCAATGGAGAAAGGGTGATGAAATTGTCTTAAATAATTTTCTGTAACACTCTCCAGCTTTTGTCTCTACAAGTAAAACCTATCTAAGATAAAGCAATTCTGTAGTATGTACGAATTTTTTTAGCAAGTGATTCAATGGTCAATTATATTCAATTATATTTGATGAAATTTTTCTAGCATCATTTGCTATTAATATGTAACAGAAACAAATGAAAGAATAGTACGGTACTTGATTTCCACGGCGACTGCTGTTCATAACGACGCAAAGATAGAATTATTCTAATTTAGTTTGTGGCTTTGATATCTTCGTGCTTACTTTCAATATTAAAGCAAAAGGATTGTCTTTCCCATAGGATTTTCACCACATAAATTCCGCAAAATAAGACTCTAGAAGATGATGAGCCATGCCTCCATGACTTTTGTTCCCAACATGAAAAAAAATTCTTTTTTTTTTTGACAACTTTTACACATACTCGATAACAAGGTAGTACCTCTTTTTACTGGAAAAATGAAACAGCACTCTCAGTAAATTAAAAATCTTCGAATTTTTTTTTTCAATGTTTAAATTGGAAAAAATTAATTACTATATCACACGATTTGAATGCAAAGCCTAAATGGAACCGAAAGTGCATAGTTACTCTTAGTTTAGAAACTTTTGGATGGTTTTTTTTTACGTGATTTGGTGGTTTAGCATGATTGCTATGAAAATCAAGTTGTGCTGAATAAACTTTTATCTAACATTTATATCCTAAATAGCTAACATTTATTCAAACTTCTACTCTTATAAGTTAGAACAAGTAATGTTAAAATGTCACCTTTTTAATGCTTTCTGTAACGAATTTTAGTCTAAACTTTTTAAAAAAATTTATATATATATTTTTGTGTGTGTGCATGTGTGTATATATATATACATATAAATTAATTTGATATAAATTTATCTTTAAAACCACACACTTTATTTTTTGCATTCTGTAAATTAGAAAGTTAATTTTAAAATGAAAGCTTAGAACACTGACATATACATTATCAAATTGATTCCATTCTTTATTGATGCTCAGTTCACATGGAAAAATCCAAAAAACATAATTGAAATGCTTTGTTACAAAATGTATTTGTTTGGTGTTTATTTTTTGTTTTCTCTCCATAGAATGAGTATTTCTTGCAATATTTCTCAGCTTCCTATATATCGCATAGTTTGCGAAGCAAGGAAACAGGCTTTACTTCCATGATATTACACCATAGTTTGCCTGCAATACCCAGAATGTTTTTTCATATTTTAAAATATCTAATATTTAATAAACAGTATTATTTTAATTTTAAAAAAAATTAAAATTTTTAAGAAAACAGTAATTTGAATTGATTATGTTAGCCAAATTTTTTTTCTCTCGATTTTTCTTTTCAAGAATAGATTTGATGAAATCATGCACTTAAGTTCTTTACTTTTGTCAAATTAAAACAAAATGACATAGTAGTTCACTTTTAAGATTTTAAACAAAGTAAGAAAGAGCAAACAAAACAAGATAAACTTTAATGCTTTAAATAAACTATCCCAGGTGAAGTTTAAAATTTTCAGCAAAAAACTTGAGGACAGTTATCAATTTTCTTAACTTAAATTATTAATGTGACTTTTCTAAGTAAAATAATTATCAGTTGCTAAACTTAGAAAAGTTGTCATAATAAGTAACATCTTCAAATTTCTGAAAAAAATCTAAACTTTTTAAAATCATTATGTATTTTAAATAAGGATACCTCATTAAGTCCAAGTACAGTAAAATTAACAGGGGTATCTAAGATTGTACGGTATTATTTTTGTTATATTCCTGTTTTAACACTTACCATTTAGAGATTTCCCTTGATATTTTTTGGGAATTGAGAAATTAAAATTCTAGACAAGTTCAAATGTTTTTTAGTTTTTTTTAAAAAATGCTCTGAAATTACTGTGATATTGGACACTGGATCCAATACCGTTAGTAAATTCCTATGATTCACTCACCATGTCACACATAAGTAGTCAGTAGGTGGTCAGCTATTGTTATTGCTGAATTGCCAAAGACGGGAGTCACGCCAAAACACTCAATAGCAATTTGGGAAATTCACTGTCTTTGGCTGCTCAACTCTGTATCAATGTTGTGGAATCCGTTATCTCAGCTATCCATAGCATCTTAAATTATCATTCCGATGTCATTGGGGAAGAGGTCTATTGAGCGCGGTCTTTCCATTTCCCCCCCCCCTAAACTTTTAACAAATATTTACAAGTACTTCAACAGTAGCTGATGCTGTGATACTCATAAAATTTTCAAATTTCACTGGTAACTCAGCTGTCATGGATTTTAACAATAGCTCCTCATCTATGTTTAAATCTTTAGCCGCTTACTACTGTTCTGTCACATACTCTGAAAACTTTTGTTGAGAGTGATCTCATGGATAGGAAAAGTTCATATGCTTCTTTTCTAGAAAGAAAACATTTTGGACCATTCCTTAATTTCCATGCATTCAATGATGTAGAAGGTAACTAAGTCTTTTTTTTTTTTTTAGATGCTCAAATATGTTATTTTTTAATTTTTTTCCAAATCAAAGATTTTGCATTTTCTATTGAAATATTTAATCCAATTACAAAAGTTCTCATCATCCACCCATGGAGAAATAATGATGTGTGCTGTAGCGCCCACCTATTCTTTCTCAGAATCAGACATTTGTTTAGATTTTTTTTTTACTCTCAGCTTTAAAGTCATAAGGTCAGGTGGGATAAAATGGGTATAAAACAAAAGCATTAAATTTATTTTACTAAAAAGTCTGGTGCATTTCATAAACAATAGATTCACATAGATTAAATATGAAACATAATGTATCTATTTTATTACAACAATGCATTTAAAAGAACATGTTTCGATTTAACGACTTTATCCCTGAGTGGGGTTAAATGGGTAAAGTTTTAAAACTAGTATGTATCTCACTAAAAATCATTTGTAAATATCGTTTCAGAAATAAAAATGCTCGTTAATGAATGTATCATGATTATATTTTAAAAATAAATGCTGAAAATTATTCTTTTTGTATTATTAAATTAAAGAATGGCTGTCCATGGTTATCAATATTAGGTTTCACATCAGATGCAGTATATTTTGCTGAATTCTACACAATTTCATCAAAAAACAAGCTTAAGTGAAATACAAATAAGAAAGCAAAAATTAATATCTATAGTAACAATTTATAGCAGCTACACATACTTTTATTCAATTTGCAAGTTTTTCATGATATTAGAATAAAGTTCATCAACTCATTAAACTAACATACCTACAGCATAATCATGGCTTAAACTAACATATTATATAAGTTGATCATAAACAGTTAGAAAAATTTAATTTTTCATTAGTTTATAAAACTTAAATAAATATGCTTGCTGTAATCCCAGTAAATTTTATTTAAATAAGGATTGGAGGTCCAAAAATGAGATCATTACATTCTGGTACCTAGATATAGAAGATTGATTAGGCTTTTATATCTCTCTGGGCAATATATTTAAACATTAATAGGTCTCAGTAACTTGGAACTAATCAATGTCCTAAGCACCTCAAAACACGTATTTTCTGAGATAATTAAATCAATATTATTACTTTCTTTGTGGGAAAGGTTTCAACTGACAGTGAATTAGATAAAGATCTATTTAAGTATCAGATTTAATAGATAATTCTTTTAATATTACATAAATATCTAGTTTTTAATTTTTATCGACTAAATTTGTTCAGTATTTTGCATATATTTTATACTTTGGTACGTATATCGAGAGAGTAAATTACTCAAAATCAACGTCCTTAAATTTGGAAAAAGTTTTGTCTTTAAATTTTATTTATTTGAGATCTAGCCCTAATTTAGAATATAAATTTTCAAATATAGGTTTAAAGGTGTTTGTGTATTACAGACTATTAATATTTGAAAGTTTTTCTTTTAAACTTCCATGATAAAAAAGAGATAAAAATTGTGGTTAAAAACATGAATTTAAAAATTAGGCCTAGCTGAACCACTTTGACACCTAAGAAAAAATATTTAAGTGCCATTAACTCCTTGCCTCATTCTTATTTTTAACCCAGAACCTAACTAAATATATTAGCAAGATTGACCTATACAGAATATTTAGTGAATTTCTAACAGTATAACGTAACAACTTGTTCTTCTAATACATGTTTTAACGTTTTTTCCTCACACTTCTTTTTTTAAAAAAATTTTTACTATTAAAAAATTGTGAACCACAATTTCTTCATTCAACTTTACCAACTAAGAAAAAATTCTAAAACAGAATTCTATTTCCATACAATAACAAAAAAGATTACTAATTGGTTTCATAGACAATATTAAATTGTATCAAACTAATTTTTTTTTATATTCTATAATCATAAATAATATCAATTTATAAATTATAGAGTTTGCTTAAGAAAATTCAATGACTTTTTCAAGCTAGGCTACATAAATAATTTTATATCACAAAAACTGATAATCTGATAGGATCCTTTCTTTATTTTTCTTATACGAACAAATACTTTACTTTTTCATCCTTATAAAAGAGAGATTAGTATATGATCTCAAAACAAGTTTATTGCATTTCAATTTATGTATCAAGTTAATTCATCATCAATTGTTTGTAAATCTTAGTTAAACTGACAATAATTTACAACTACTTTGCTTTTGAAATGAAAACCTATTGATCTAGTACACCAAATTTTGAAAACCCTATCTAGCAAAAACAAAAGAATTTTACACTTGGGCTGACCCAAAAAACCCCAAGGTATGTTCTTATCGGGCTGAGTCTACTTTGGCGAACCCTGCTTTTAGACACTTACAAGCAGGCCATTATATATCATTTTTAAAGTAATCTAAATTTAAAAATTGGATACTTCATTAGGCAGGGATATCAGAAATCACCAAGTTAGCCCCAATCTATGATCTTATAATTTTTTTTCTTCTAATTTTTTACCTAGGTCACATTCTAACTGCTTATCGTCAAAACTTAGCAATTTTATATTGACACACTCCTTTCCACTTAACCAATCAGCCATTTCAGTAAGCGCTAACAGATACCAGAAATTGAAATATTTCCACCCCTGCATTCGAATTGTGAAGAATTTGAATATATTTAATATTTGGAGGATATTAAACCTGTATATGCCAACCTGTTACCTGTATGTGCCAACTACAATTGCAAAGACTGCAAAAAGATTTTAATGTAACAAAATTTGACAAAATATGTAGAGCCTTGCCCAGGGATGGTTATCAGTTTTACTCTTTGAATTAATACGTTTTTCTATTTTTTTTAGTTCCTCACTACACTCCTTAGAGTTCACCGAAGCATGACGATTAATTCAGCACAGGTTCCGAAATTTTCTTAATATCTGGCTCCACAATCATCCAAATATATTTTTCATTTACTTAGAATTACAATTTAAAGTACAAATACTACACTGCAGTTGATACAATTAGAAACGTCAATCAACTAATGAAATTGAAGGAGAAGTTAAGATAGTTCTCTAAAGATACTCAGAAAATTTGAATAGTAGAAGTTAATAGCTCATATTTTTAAATTATCAGATTGAACACGTTAGAACTAAGTGATCTACAATTTAATTGGTCAAAACACCGGAAACAAAAGTTATTTTAACTTAATAATCTTTGAATAATTCAATAAGCTTTCAAACCCATATAAAACTAACAATAGGCGATTAAAATAATCAAACAATGAATAGACGAATATGTGTCCAAAATATTTTAAATTGAAGAAGGTACGAAATTTACTAAGTAAATCAGAAATGAGTATTTATTAACATGTAGAAGCATGAAAATAAATAAATGATAACAATTGAACTAAAAACATTTAATACAATAAACTTACAGAAATACCGCGCCAAAATTGTCTCATCGTTGTACCATATCTCAAAGAAACACAACCATTCAGAAGAAATTAAGCTAAGTATCTACAGTTATCAACAAATCACTCATAAAAACAACAGCTGATCTGCCTACCTTTTGCTCACTAAATTAAAGCAACTTTTTGAACTACTGCTGAAATCGAAAATATTTCCTTTAAAATTAAGCAATGTAATTTGGTTGGTGTAGTTCATATTTGCGAGACGCATATGAAGCACTAAAGTGACCAGATCAATGAAGCATCCGCAAAAAATTTTGCGATTTGAAGATTTATGGAAAATATTAATTTATATTATTTCCATTCCAACCCCATTAATAAACTCGTAACCCAACAAGTTTTTTAAGAAAGGTGATTTCAGGTCGCGTTCCAATCATACAGTACAGTGCGCCATCTGGGGAGAAGATCGATTCCATGTCTTGACCCTTCCCTATCCTGCTCTTTTCAATTGTATAGGAAAGCACTCCGATATTTTCCAATTTCATAGTATTTTTCGCGTTTAATTGTCAAAAACATTTCTTTTTAATCCGCACGATGCTTTCTTTTAGAATTACATTCAATGTAGTTTTCATTTCCATATAGTTTCCTACCTTAAACTTTTTTAATCTATTTAAAAATCACGACTGAAACAAACATACTTCCTTCTCCTATGACTCTCCACACGTTAATGGTGAAAGTATGCGAAGTGTTGCCATAGATAGAGAGTTCTGCCCTAAGTCATCCGTAGCCCATTTCGATCACCAACCGTATGGAGGCATGGCCACCGAGAGTCAAGGCCTCTCAGTAGGTTCCGTAGGTTCATAACGTTATCCTCGGAAGTGTTAGCGAACCATAAGATAGCACGGTATTTAGATTTGTATTAAGAGAAAACTATATAATAAATAGTTCAAACTTTTGAGCGACGTAAAATATTTTTGCTTTAGCTAATTTATTTGCACTTAAATATTTTTGGTGGTGAATTTTTACCTTTTTATTAGAATAATTCAATGTTTTTTACCACGTTATAACTCAATAAAATGAAAATGTAGGACTGATGCTTTTCATGAAGCAATATTATGTGTATTTCATAAGAGAAAATAATTTAATAAGAATTTTTTTCCTTTAATTTTAAATCTTGATTCATCATAGCTATTTTTAATATCAAAAGAATAAACTTTATTTAAGTTAATAATTTATAATTTTCTAATATATGCAATCAAATATTAGATTTAATTACAGATTTGAAAATAAGAAATGATACATTTTAATAAGAAAACGAATACCAGACAAATAAAAATGTCATATCATGACAGAAAAGAGATATATAAAGAAATTATAATTTTATTGGCACATTCATAAAAAATTTATTTTGAAGTAGGTTCCAAAGAATTCTTTCAAAATGGTATGATATGCATTTAAATTCCAAGTGGAAGTAATCTAAACATAAACACTGCAAATATTTACAAATTAACGACGTATATAATATTAAAATAGAACAAAATAATTTAGCTAAGTAATAATTTTAAGGTAATAATAATAAATAAATTATAAGTAATTTAGCAAAGTATTTCGATCCTTAGGACTGTAGAACTTTAAAATAGTATTTATTATTTTCAGAAATAAATATACCTTTTTTTTTATTTTCTGTTGATTATTATAAAAAAGTAAAGTATTATAAAAAGTAAATTTTTTTAATCACAAATTAATCTTGATCTCTTTTAATATATCTACCAAAAGAGTTTGTATAAGATTTTCAGATATGAGTTGTTTAGATATAAATAATTCACTTTATTTATATTAGTTTTCTCAGAATTCCAATCTTATTGAAAAGTGGCAAAAAGCAATTCCTTCTGCTGATAAAAGTCTACTGATCATGTTTATGCTTTACACTTTAATAAAGACGATATTGAAATTCATTATCAAGTCAACCTGATCACCTGGTGGTGAATTTTAAATCAATTTATTACTGGGCTGTGCAGTGATATGCCAATTGGTGAGAAACAATGAAAATAATGTTTCATATCAAAATGTGTTTTTCTAGGTTTTGAAACAAGAAAGGGAACGGCATCAATTGAAAACTTTTACCATCCCTTCTAAATCCCCAAATGTTTCCAAGTATCCCTCATCTAATGTGAGAACAAGGAAACATCCTGCTTCAAGAAATAATGTTTTAACTGGTATATATTTTCATTTTCTTAGTTAAGAAATACATATCCTTTTCTTTATTTCACCCTCTAGGTACTAGGAAATAATTTTTTTTTTTAATATTTCAGATAAATCTGTCAATTCGCCGAATTTAACATCTTCCTCCAATTTGATTACCTCTGGTGAGTAGGTAGATCATTTAAAAACAATTATATTCAATTTTATTGTTTTTTAATGAGTAATGATTTTCCAGGTTCAGATAAGAACCAAGCACTTACAGATCTCGTGCAACTTTTTGCTGGTAATTATTTTCCTGCTTGTTACAAAATCAATTTTTATTTAAATATTTAGCTGGCAACAGGGCTGGATTTTTGACTTCAAAAACTGGTTTTTTGCATGACACATCAAAAACCTGTTAAAGAGTGCCAAAAACTGTTATAAATTGACGAAATCAGTCAAAGACCAGAAATAAGATTCTTTTTTGTCATTTAGGATATTTTAATAGAAATAAAATCATGAACATGGCGCCAGAAAAACGGACTACCCTGTATAACTTTTGATCTAATGACGTTCACGTTCATAATTTTCACGTTCTAGAACTCAAACTTAATGGTTTGAGGGGCTGACATCAGATATGTCAATTAATAAGTGCAGACGATATTTTAAGTTATAAAATCAAATACAAGTTCGCAGATCACCGAAGTCGAGCATCATTGGCTACGGTCAGTGAGCGGGTGGGTGACCACTTGGATCAGCCTGCGTAGGGACCGAGGGTGTGCGGTATTGGTTCTCGTTAAACTGTTCTACCGTAAAGTGCTTGACTTCGCGTGCAGGTCGTCGGGCTACCGAAGCGGGGGTGCCATCCCCTCTGCTGAGGATCAAAATTGTGATGGCATGTCTTCGGATCATCCTCAGGGATGTTTCCCAGACCGTCGCCAATAGCCCATTGTGCAGCTCTAGTGCGACGTAAATGAACAACAACAACAAATACAAATTCGTACTTTCCCTGAATAAACATACCTTTTTTTCGACGGATTCGGATTTCTGACCTCCAAAATACATAGGATAGCCGCAATCTCGGAAATATGATCCCATTTGTTAGGTCAGGAGAGCGCTCCAAACTTTGGATTCCTTAAGGTTCATTTTACTTTTTGCTGATTTCTCCATATGACGAGAACTTTTTAACCGAATCAGAAAAATTTTACACTCAATTGTAAAATCTTTTTTATCTAAAAACAATTCCATACAAAAATAACTGTTAATAAATATTTATAATTTTATTTAGGAATGTTGAAATAATTTTGAATTATAAGATACACAAATTTTTGTATGATTTAAAAAATTGCAATTTTATATGGAAAAATACAAATTTCGTGCGAAATTGGTCGAATATTTCCCGAGAAATTGCATTTCAAAAAAGTCTGACACTTAAGATTCGATTTCTCAGGAACTATGCGACAAATTTCACATGAATTTTGCCATATAAATTATATTCTTTGAAATGATACAAAAAATAGTATAGCTTACAATTCAAAATTCTTTTGACGATTCTTAAATAAAATAGTAAAAATAATAAATATTTACTGAAAGTTATTTTTCACTTGGAATTACCTTTGGCTAAACGCATTTCATAATTGTGTGTAAAATTTTTTCAATTAGCTTGAAAAGCTCTCGAGATATAGTAAAATACGTAAAAAGAAAAATTAACATTAAAGGGTTTAAACTTGCGCTCTCCTGACCAAACTATTGTGACCATATTTCCCAGATTTCTGCTACACCCTATTGTGGGGGTTAGAAATCAAAATCTATCCAAAAAAGGTATGTTTATTCGGAGAAAGTATATTTTTCAGTCTGATTCTGTAACTTAAAATAACGTTTGCACGAATTAATCAGCATATTTTAGGCCACTTCCTCGAGCCATTAAGATTGATTCCTAGAACGTAAAAATTCGATCATTAGATCAAAAGTTATTGCTACCAATCTCCATTACTAAAATGGCATCATATCACAGATTTGACCACGGTGGCAAAAGAATGTCTAACCCAAAGCCATATGCTACTCTCGACCTAGTTAAGATCAAGGAGGTGTGCCAAAATTATGCCAGCGAAATTGCAACTCCAGATAACATCGACAGAATGATCAGAATACAACGAAATGACATCGCTGAAATTTCTGAAAAACTCGACAGAGGACGGAGACTCAATGAACAAGAGAATGAAAATCCACATCGATGTGCATTTATGCTTGAAAGATACTTGGAAATCAAGGAAAAATGAACTACTGAGGAAACAACAACGCCAGTGTTTACTGAAAAGATGGAAACATCAACCGAGCCAAATATTCCCCAGCAGACCGAGAACTTGAAAAGCTTAATACTCAAACTCCAAACAAAGCAAGGCCTTTTTAGGGCCAGAAACTACAGACTCAAACCCCATCCCAGAGACTGAATCACAACCACAGAACTCCATCGACATTGAAACTATTGATACTACTGCTCCGAAACGGAGAAAGAAAAAATAGATGAAAACTTGCGACAACTCGACGTCGCAAGCCCTTGAAACACCGGACGGCGATAACACCCAGCCTGAACCAACTCCTAGTCCCGCAACACCTGTGGAACTAATACCGACGGAACGTGAGAAAGAAACCGAAGCCCAGGCGACGGCGGATCCTCCCTATTCCACTCCAACACCTAAGGACTCTCCACCGAGTAGAAAATTGAAAACCCTCATCAGAGGATTAAAGACTGATATCGAAATTCCTGAATTGGAGAATTTGATTGGAGAAATTGGAGAATTTCCTGAATTGATGAATACCTAAAAGAATTTGGACTTTTTCCCGAGAAAATAATTCAACTCAAGAGGAGAAGCGGACAGGACCTTAGGCCCCTCCCACTTTCCCTCATCATCCAATAAGAATCCAGAGCCAACAGAAACATCTTTAACATCAGTTCTATGCTAGAGAGAAAAGTTCAGATCGAGCGTTTCCGAGGCGGACATTTTCAAATTCAATGTTACAGAATCTACAGATGCCAAAAATTTGGACATACCCAGCATAGCTGAACAGCAGATCCCGCCTGCCTAAAGTGTGCTAAAGCCCATTACTCGTATGAATGTACGAAACCTATCTCAGAACTGGCGACCAGTGTCTACTGCAACGGTGAGCACCCAGCTTGTTTTTCGGGCTGTGGTGCAAGACCCAGGAAAGTGCCCAAA